TTACTGTTTGTTAAATTTTCATTAAATCTACAAACCAAGTTACAAAACTAGACATGATATTCGCCTCCATCTTTCTTTTCATCAGATAATGAGGAAATAATACTTATGGAAGCATTTCGAGAAAGCCAGATTAGGCACATGAAAAGAGCTTCCAAGACCCCTAAACCCACCCCACCTAGGACGTCTAAAATGTAATGTCTTTCAGCCAGCACTCTTGATAGACAAACAGCAGTCACCCAAGCAAATAGAGGAGGATAGAAGACAATCCATACAGGGTCCAGATACATTAATGTAATTGCGACTAGAGTAGCTCGGCTTGCATGTCCAGATGGGAAGGAATACTTGTCAGGTCCCAACTCCAATAATTTGTTCATTGGTACTGGTCGACGTCTTCGTACGATTGCTTTGATGACTGCTATTACCACAATGTCCAGGATTAGAGCTGAAAATTAATCAATTGAATAATTTTAACACTAGCCACTTTTATCTTTTCGTTTATAAGATAGTGCTGATGAACAATGCTCTTTAAGTTGTCCTTGTAATTTGCTACTACCCTATGTACACTCTGTCTTAAACCGTCAAAGATAACTAATGTCTGAGTGTCTTACCAATTAACATATTGACTTGAAGCTGATATAGATCTTTATTGTCAAAAAACCAGATGAAACTGAGCCATCCCGCCAGCCACACAATGCCATGGCAGGATACCTACAAAAGTAAATATTATATATTGAATCACTTGTTATTGGTGTTTACACAAGATGCCACTTGGTAGGGAGTGGCGGCTGTTGGGTATTGATTCTGGTAGTGCTAGTAGTAATATGAAAGCAATGTAAAATTCGTAAGGGTCTAAACAGAACTTGTCAGAATGATATGTATTAACTTGCATTAATTAGTAACAAGTTGCAACATTTGTGGTGTTTACAAAGTAATGTGATATCATGTTACTATTTTAAGAACAGTGACTTGATTGATTGCAAAAATTGTATACAAACTTACAGTACTCTCTTCACACCCTTTTTAAATCAAAATAGAGAGACCACACCCTAAAGTGTATGAAAGCGTTCAAAGGTGTTGACAAAGTGCTAGATGTGTGTCAGGATTGTATACTTTAAATACATACATGTATTATAATAAAATATTTTGAAAATGAAATCTAATGTTACCTCCAAAAATTTTGCATGATTTCGAAGTGACCTCAGAGCAGTTGTCTTTAGTGCGGCTTCCACAAACTGTTTTGTGACTTTAATGTCATAATTGAGTATTTTTTTCAACATTGGATGTATGTTTCTTTTCTCTTCTGTAGGACCTCCTAGCTGAAAATCAAACAGCCATTGTGGTATATGTTTAGTATCTTTATGATAATACAAGGTTCAAGATAACACTTTGAACTGGGTCTAATAAATACAGATATAATATGTGTCCAGTATGTATGTGGGCCTATAATAATACATAATAAATATTTGTAGATATAATATGTGTCCAGTATGTATATGGGCCTTAGTGCAATAATTTATAATGCAATTATATTTAATAACAATATTATATGCATGTAAAAACTGTATAACATTATTTTGCGACAGAAAATATTTTGGGGAGACTTCATGCAATGATAAATTTACAATACTACTCAATGTTCAAAGAATGTAGAACTTATATTTTGACAGAAAACTTTTGGGGAATGTGTACAGTGTTTAAGGCCTCCAAAAAGTCACCATATCGCTCTTTTCCATTGTTCTGTATGTTTAAATTATTTGCAATTTAAAAAAAAAATATAGATATGAAGGGATACACATATGTGTTGATTTTTTATCAATAACCAAATTTTTATATTATGATCCTTGATGAAAATATAACATATATGTTTATTATTTTAGTACATTGACTTACATTAGTATCACCCAGTACTAAAATATTGAGATATGACATCACAAACTCATCCAAAAAACGGCGACCCCAGGCGATGCAATTGTAACCTCGCCAAAAGAAATACATAAATGACGTCTGTATTACGTATTTGTTTTTGACAACCTAGGTAAGAAACCTATTTTAAAATAACCAATTCAATTTATTTCGATTTCTACACTACAGAAATTAGAACTTATTTTTGACGGACAAAAGTGCAATTTAATTACCTTGGCGGCCGAATGGTTAGTACTGTGCTAGATGAGGAGGTCCTGGATTCGATTCTCAATAGGACCAATTTGAGAAACTTGAGACCAGATAATTAGTGTGGTGGTCTAGTACATTATTATTACTTAGCCTATATCCATGTTGCGTGGCTTACCGATTTCTTGTTATGATTTCGCGTAATTAGCAAATATAAGTCAAGGATGCATAAGTTACATAGCTTTGAGTGTGTGAAGGTTAATAAATATTGATAAATATAATAAATGTCGATAAATTGGGTATAGCCTAGCCATTGCACGACATTTAAAATCATTTGATGACTGGGTGTCCTTGCATTTTCGCCTCCCAGATTACAAAGGCGTAGAATACTTTCTACTCGGTAGTCTCTGGGCTGCCCTTAGACTTCACCACTTAAAAAGTAACTCCTCACCATTTAGTAGCACTCACGGTTTGACTAGTTACAGTGAACACATGAGAAGGAAGTGAAGAGAGAGGCCACGCGAGCGTGACATATGTTCAGGACGAACATGCACTAGCAACTGAATATGAATGCGGTTGCACTGCATGGGATTTTTTTTTATGATACCAAGTGATGGGACGAACAAGTTGTGGAACTGGTGGTAAGTGACACGTCTGTCCAAAACTGTTGCAGTGCCACTTGGGACCAAATATTACTGTTTTTATTATATACATTATTATTTTGGGCAAACAATTTTAATGTGGCAAGTACAATGGCAAAATCATAGTCAAACCCAAAACAAAATTTGTTTAGGAATTTCAACTATATTTTTACATATTTCTAATTTATAAACACACGCATACAAATTATGTCAACAAAAAATTGTATGGGAGTTTGCCATTGTCCTTTTACCTATAATTTTTTTTCAAAAATGGAGTATTTGATAGATAGTGTAGTAAAAATTTTGCTACTGATAAAAAAGTCACTCTGTATAATAAAATTTGTGTATTCCTGAATGTATACATAACCATGTTAATTAGAATTAAAATTGCATTGTGGAAAAAAGTCTATTTTATATTAGAAAAACATCATTGATTGGCAAGACATCAGTATTATGTATTGTAGCATTTTTAAAGCAATGAAACCAAAAATAACTACCTCTTATAAAAACAATATGTTCTCATACAATGTTTGCGTAGAAATTATTAAGTAGATGACTAAATTAATAAACATGCAAAACACGTAGGAGGAACAATACACGGGAAGCAAAAATAAATAAGTTGCTCCTAATCTTACGAAATATTAGGTTTTCAGAATAAAAGTAAAGAAGCCAAAATGAAAGTAAATTCTCACCATATCCATTGCGCAGAATTAGTGAACAGAAGCTCAAGAGATAAAAACACTTGATCAAATAAAAGTACCTATTAGGACAACTAATGAAATGATATTTACACTGATTTCCAGTTACCGTGCACTTTATAGATGTAGTGACTGTACAGGTTAAAAAAGAATTACTAAATCATATTACGTTAAATGCAGTTATTTGGTTATTTCTGTTAAAAATGGATATAAGGATTTTTAATAAGCTATTTCTTGTGCTTCGCTTACTTTATTCCAATAGACAGTGACTGACACTGACAGATGACAGTGACAATTTGCAGAATATACAAAACTTTTTTTTCCACGAAATCGAAATAATATTATAGCAACATTTGGAACAAAAGCCTCAGAGGATGTAATTTATTAATAGTAACATTGACTTACAAATAAAAATAGTAAGCATAAAGTGCACTGCCTAAGTGTAGTCTGTGATAAAGTGACAATCCAAGTCTGTGGTGACAACAACAATTACGTGTTGCGATTTAAGTTTTTATTGTTCATTTTAGATGGTCTATGTTTAAATTTATTTACAATGTGGTTTGTAGACTACATTCGCCGAGTTTATTTGCACTGAATAGTATTATATGCTAATAATATAATATTCATTAGTAAATAAATAAATTATAGCTATGTTGGAAACGGAAGATGTTGATGATGATTTTTTTACTCCAATGTCTAAGTTAGTGGCTTATAATTTTATAGTTATGTTTATGTGTTATCAAGAGGACTAATAATTGCAAATGAACACTGTTAATATGGTTTGTTTCTTCCAGTACATCCTTGTCCAATATCTTTGGAAGTTCTCCTCGTCACAATAAAGAGAGTGAAAATGAGTCATTGAAATATGTACCGCCGAAACCGGTTGACACTACTTCGAAGCCTGCAGAAGACACAAAAGCCACTAAATGTATATTTGCTTGTGTACTTACGGCATATGTGTGGTATGAAAAACTTTAGCAGTTTTCCAATGTATTTTTTTTTTATTTAGTGACCGTTTACATTATTTCCATGTTCCAGGACTAAAAATGAATATATAGCAAAAGGAAAGTTGGGTTTTGCCATAGTTAAAATGATGAAAAACAATATACATAACATTGTGCTTTACGATTCTAACAAAACTAATCTGTCAAGTGCAACTGTCACATCCAATTTGGAAGTGACTGTAAAAGGCAATCTTTACATATCATATTACGACAATCTCCGTTGTTATTGGAGCCTTTGTGGAAATGAGGAGGACATGAAAAAAGTAGTGGATACTTTACAACACTTAAATGTTACAATAAAATTCTTTCAAAATATTGATGAAACTCTTCCAAAACCTGAAAAAGAAAAGGAGAAAATAAGTGTGGATGTTCAAAATGATACAAAGAATCAAGAAAGTGACACAGACTCATCTCTAAATAGGAAAACTAAACAATCTATTCTAGACAGAATGGCTAACATGGGGCATTCAGTTTTGCCACCTCAAGCTGTGCATACTGAGAAAACTAGTGATTCCTCGGATACAAATGAAATTGTGAATCCTCCCAAGCCTAGACATAAACCAATTAAAGCTATATCAAGAAAGTTTAGCACTGATAAAAATACACCTGAGGCTCATAGTCAAGTTGAGGTAATTAAAGCAATGTCTCCTAGAGTTGACCAATTTACTGAAAAACCACAACTTTATACTTTAATTAATGGGCAACTTGTACCTGTTACAAATACAAGTTGCCCTAGCATTCTACCCAGCCCTTCACAAAGTAATGATTTGAGTTTATTCTTAACAGAACATAGGATAAGTAACAGTGAGATGAGGATGAATATGAACAGAACAAGTGAGAAAATTGATCTAATATTAGACAAGCTTAAAGATTTGAGCAGTACAGACATAAGCAAAAGTGGTAACTTTCAGATTGAAGTAATGCAAAAACTATTAAATGAGTATGAAAATAAGATTGACATATATGAAAAAATTTTAAAAGGACAGGATGTACCCAAAACACTTAATCAAATACCAAATGATGAACAGTACAAATCAAAAATAGCAGAACTTGAGAAAGTTATAGCTGACAAAAATAATGAAATTGTTGAAATAAAACAAAAACTTTTACAAGAGGCATGTGAGAAACAAAAAATTGAAAACACCTTTCAAGATGAAATAAAAAACTTGAAATCGTGTATAGACCTCAAGGATAAAGAGTTGGCTACTATTTCAACAAAATTAGAAGAATCTACATATAAAGATGGTAGTAACGAATTAGGCAGTAAATTAAAAAGTATCATGAATGATACCTTCAGAGCCGTTACTGCAAAATTTGAAAGTAATGAAAATTACTCGGGAGAATCAGTAAAAAATATTATAGGATCAATCATGAAACAAGTCACAATACAATCATTAAATGAACTTAATGTAGAAAAATGATAATTAACAAATCAGCGTTTTTCTACTATTTTGCTTTAAGTTAAACAGATGGCGGCTGTCATCTAAGTAAGAAACTGCAAAAATCATCAGATTCATTAATAATATTTTTTTATAAATAATTAAGCTAAACGATTAATAATTGTTACAGAAAATGATTATAAAATATCGTATATATATCCTGGTATCATGCATATTTAATCTTATTACAACAAAATAGAATTTTGTATTGGTAATGAAAACAATTGCTTATATCTTCTGACTTTTTGGTTATGTTAGTTTGTTATCCACCTCCATCAATGTGACCGACCCATAGAAACAAAATAATTGTCGGCTGGTTGTCACCCTATGTTTCGCGTTGTAGTTATACATTATGAATTATTTATGGAAATCATTTAATAAATATATATATAATTAAAGAAAAGCCTAAACGATACTATGTTGTTCAGTGAATTAGATTGGAGGTATTACAATGAATCTTATATATAAATATTGGGTAATTATGTAATTTTATGATGTTATAGTAGGTGGCCTATGCCCAGCAGTAGACGTCTTTCGGCTGACATTATGATGATACTGGGAACACCAATATTTTACATCATTATTAGAACAAAATGGTGTAGGTGTCTAATAAAAACTTTAGCATTTTGTCTATTCAATTACCTATTACTAAATTACATCGAATACTCGATGCTAATTTATCATTCGAACCAACGTTTTTTAACATACCGTGCCAGATGCTATGCCAAGTAACCGAATTTTGTTTTGGTTTTTAACGACTTTGCCGTAATATTTTTCCTATTTTAGTTCAATAGGTTCATATTCTATTGAGTTCATAAATTTTCGCGATTGTTACACATAGGAAATGAAACTATTTTTCCGGATTTAAATCGCATATATATGTTTTTTCAAACAAACCGACGTTTCGGGCCCTTTACAGGTCCCATGGTCACGGTTGACTTTTCTGGTAGTCCGTAGTAGTTCCGGAAAAATACTTTCATTGTCAATATGGGAAAGATTATATAAAAAAGATGAATGTTAATTTTATTATTTGGATAAGCATAATTTGCCAATTGCCTTACAAATCGATGGCAATACAAAAATTTACGCTGTAGTCGTCTCCAAATTAGAGGCCAAATTTGACACTTGTCATCGTGACGTGTATAGGGATGTGGACTAATCACATTTTACGATTTTCGAGAAATCGATTCAAAATTTGAAGAGTTTGTGATTGTTTAGATTATTTTTCGGTTCATTGTTATTCAGGGGGGCTTTAAGGCCAAATCGTGCAATTCTGTTAAAAGCAATTTATTTGTAGCAATTCCTCTTATTTTCGTAAAATTGTCCCACATTCAGATGAATTGTATCCAATTTTTTTAATTTTATAATATTCATAAATGATTTATTACGAGAATTTAGTGTAAATAAGTATGTTCATCGATAAAACAACTACATAAAAAGATTAAATTGCCAAGAAACCAAGGATTTCATAAATTTTCAATTATTCGGCTGGCAATAAGTTGGAAGTTATCAATGTCAATAACAAACAATCTCAAGTAATGTTCATAATTTTTCTAATATCTTTTTTTATATTTTTTTCTGAGAAATCGAAGTGACACGGTGAAATTCGTCAATTAATTGGTCACAACACTATTATTAAAAAAAAATGCTTGAGGACGTAACTGTTTTCGGGACATTTCGGCACAACTCAAAATTGCATTTTATTTTGGAATTCGAGCAAAAACAGTACTTCAAATATGTTTTGTCATATTAAATAATGTTGCAATCAGTCAGTTTTTTACTTAAGCTATATTTTGTACTTTTAATCATTATTTTTTGTATTATACACTTAAAACACACACGTACACACTCACAAACACAAACATCCGCGCTTTATTCGGGCAACATAGTATCAGACGTGTATTGCAGACCATATTGTATAGTCATTTATGGATAGCTCATTGCAAACTCTTCAAGAAATAGATAATACTGAAATTGCAAAGTCCGTCATTTGTGATATAGACGATCTTTCTATCCACATACCAGCAAAGAAAGCCAGACTAAATATAATAACCCAAAATATTCGAAGTATTTATTGCAACATTAACGATTTTGAAATTAGCTTTTCACAGTTTAAAATTGACATTGATATAATAATTTTAACTGAATGCCGATTGCACCCAAACAAACCCATTCCCTACTTATCTAACTATACTTCTTACCTAACAACAAAATTGTTTAACCAGAACGATGGAGTAGTAGTGTATATAAAAAACAATCATCAAGTCACAGTTAAAGAAATTATGTTAACGCACGCATCGTGCTTACAAATTTGCGTTAATAATTATATAATATTGGGTATATACCGTTCTCCTTCGAATGCAAACGCGGATGACTTTATAAATTCACTTAACCTACACCTGGAGACTATTAAGTCTAAACCAAATATAATAATCACTGGTGACATAAATATTAACATATCTCCGAAACACATTGAACAATCTTATGAACGTAAAAATAGACTCTACTACCTCACATCTCTGTCAACGCATGGTATTCTTTCGGGGCACTCATTTCCAACCAGAGAACAAGCATGTCTGGATCATTTCATGCTGAAAATTAATACAAGGCAAACCACTGCAACAGTTGCTGTTCTAAACACATCTATATCTGATCATCTAATGATACTGCTGACTCTGTCCGATTCCACTGTATTACCAGTCTGTTCTAAGACAAAAACGCTGGTAAATTACGCTAATGCGTATAATAGTTTGCAGAAACAAAATCTTTATGAATTGTTCCTTCCAACAGATCCGAATACGTTAATAGACCTTTTAATTAGTAAAATATCCATTGCTCTGAGAGAACATACTAAAATCCTACCTATTTCAAGACATAGACGTATAATTAAACCCTACATTACAGAAGGTGTATTAAGATGTATAAGAAATAGGAACCAAATGCAAAAGAAATTAAAATTAGACCCCGCAAATGAAATATTAAATATTACTTATCGTAGATATAGGAACTACTGTAACGGTCTAATAAAAAAACTAAAACGTAAATATGAACGAGACAAACTGGCTACTTCAACCAAAAACAGTAAAACCCTATGGAAAACAATAAATGAAATTACTCAATTCAAGCAAACAAAAATATCTAATACAAATTTATTGAATATTACATCGTCTCCATTAGAATCCATCAATAAGGTCAATGTGTTTTTTGCCAACATTGGTAAAACCCTGGCAGAAGAGATTCTTACAAGCAAAGCAGTAAAATGCACAAAACCGTTTGCAACATGTCATCAAACATCATCCTTTGTTTTACTCGATACTGACCCCCATGAAGTCAAAACTATACTAATGAGTCTTGATTCAAACAGCTCCCAAGGTTGGAATTCCATACCAACTGAATTTTTGAAATGTTCCCAATTTATTCTTGTACCAATAATTGCACATTTAATAAACCTTTGCTTCAGTTTGGGAGTATTTCCAAATGCGTTCAAAAAATCAACGGTAACGCCAGTGTATAAAAGTGGTGACAGAGACGATGTAAATAATTATAGACCAATATAAGTCCTGCCTGCACTTTCTAAGATTATGGAGAAACTGATCAATACGCGTTTGCTAAGCTTTCTGAACAAATATAATATATTAGCAAAATCTCAATATGGTTTTCGTAAAGGCATATCTACAGAAGACGCTGTTCTTGATTTAAGTGCACTAGTAGTTAAGAAATTAGATTATGGAAAAAGATGTTTGACAGTTTTTCTTGACTTAAGGAAGGCCTTTGACACCGTCTCTGTCCCCATTCTTCTTAAAAAATTGGAGAACATTGGTATTAGGGGCTGTGCTCATGCCCTCCTTGAGAGCTACCTGACAGATCGAAAACAGTATGTCAAACTGGGAAATCTGTTGAGTGATGAAGTAAACATTGGTTTCGGTGTTCCCCAAGGAAGTATTTTGGGTCCTACGCTCTTCCTCATCTATATAAATGACCTGTGTAATCTTGACATAACTGGAGGTAAAATATTCACTTATGCAGATGACACTGCGATAGTTTTCTCAGGAGATACTTGGGAAGAAGTACACACACTTACAGAAACTGGATTGGCCAAGATTTCTGGATGGTTGGATATGAACCTTTTAACTTTAAATACTGTTAAAACTAACTATATATGTTTCTCCCTTAGAAATTCGTCGCAACCAGTTGATGGTTTTGAAATTAAAATTCATAGTTGTGATAGACACGACACACAAACATGCAGTTGTCCTTCTATCAACAAAATTGATAAAGTTAAATATCTCGGTGTTATTGTTGATCAGAAATTGTCTTGGTATTCACAACTAGGCTTAATATCGAGTAGGATAAGAAAGCTTGTTTGGGTTTTCAAAACTTTGCGACATGTCGCAACAAGGGATTTGCTAAATAAAACATACATTGCCCTTGTGCAATCTGTTATTGTTTATTGTATTCCAATTTGGGGAGGTGCATCGAAAACTAAATTCTTGGATCTTGAGAGAGCTCAGAGATCATTACTGAAAGTTATGCATTTTAAGCCATATAGATTTCCCACTACAGAACTTTATAATCATAGTAACGTACTTTCAGTAAGGAAACTATACATATTGCATGTGGTTGGTAAACTCCATAGGTCATTGAAATTTGACCAAAGGTTGCAAAATAAAAGAAGAAATGATGTAGTGGCTCCTTCTCAATTAACCAATTCGTACTTTGCAGGAAAACATTATGATAAACAATCTGCCTATATTTATAATAAAATAAACAGAATATTAAAAATATATTCTATGCAATATTACGACTGTAGAAGCGCGATGATAAAATGGCTGAAATTGTTAAACTATGACGAAACTGAGGATCTACTAAATGTACCTGCTTAATTCGTGGTGTTAACTTTCACAAATACTGTTTGTTGCTCACGTGTACGTATACTCAATTCTCAACTTCAACCATTGCTAATACTCTCATCTCACACACATTCACTCACACTTACACTTATACACACTCACTTATATACATACACCTTTTTACATTATATATATACCTAATATCCTAATTTTAAGTAAATAAATTGTACACGTTTAAATATTTAATATTAGTTTTGTGATGTGGAGGAGCGACATTCCTATCACAAGTATATTTTTACTTAAAAGGAGTGTCAAACCCAGAACAATGAAAACCCATGTATAAGTTGATGAAAATAAACATTTTTAATTTTTTAATTTTTTTTTTATTTTTTTTTTAATTTCAATAAAATTTATGTATTTTTTTAAACTCAGTAATGCTAATAATTGTTTGTTTACTATTTATACTATCGCTTTCTTTAGCTGTCAAATTTGGCCTCTTATTTGGTGACGACTTTAATGGGGATGGAAAATCCAAAGTACCCAGAGCCGTAAAAACAAAAAAAAAAGAATTAGGCATGTAAGTGAAAAATTTAAGAATATCGATGTATTTGAATCTATATTTTCCGACAGTATCGAAACAAATATATTGATATATTTATATTTTACATGAAGACAGTGATTCATTAAAAGTATTCCCAAAAAAAAAATAGATATCGGGGATCGAACCAGACCTTGGAACCTTTTGTAATACTAAAGGATTACACCATCACCATCGAGTTCACCATCTGGCTGAAATGGGTAAAAAGAAATCGAATATATTTCTGGTATAAATCTTTTCTACAGTTGACATTTATGTCGTGTGAAATCATTTTTATGTGTAACATAAACGAATAATTCTTTTGGTTATTGTTTCCATGTATCGACAATCGACACTTGAAGATAAATTATCGATTTATAATCTATTGATAATAATTATATTTCATTCGATCATTAGATCAATAGATTAGATCATTATATTTAGTATCCGAAAAGTCGATATTTTTATATAAATCGTTATTTTTTTGACAAAGTCTAACATACAAATTAATAAATATATTTATAAAGTCAAGTTAACAAAATTGAAAACACGTGTTGACGTTATTCAAAATTTTACAATTTCCGTCTAACAAATACAGTTGTGGTTGTCAGAAAATCTGGCGAATTTTGATATGTCGAACTTAAATATATCGACGACATATATCGATTATTATATTTAACGAAAAAATATCGATATTTGGATGTATCTTTTTTTACATGTCTAATGTTTTCATTGTTTTGGATTCTTTCGTATTTCTATATATGGAATTAACAAGAAGGAAGGAAGGTGTAGAAGTGGAATAAAATTAATTTGATTTCTTGATTACTGAAAGTTCAAGTTTTCCCAAAGATTTTAGCAACTCTGAAAAATATGGACGATTTAAAAAGTTCATTAGCACAATATAATGAACAGGTAACAAAATTGTCAAGGTTTATGAATTGTATGTTTCTTGCACTTTGTTTAGCGTATTAAAGTTTAATATTTTACAGCTTTGTACGGTTAGCGAGGCACTAAAGACCGCTAAAGATGAAGAGCGCGAGTCTTTACTAGCTTTACAGTCGGAGTTACAAGAGCTAATACAACTTACTGAGGAGAGTTTGGACACTGTATCTACCACTGGCGCTTCTAGCAAAGTTGAGGGTCTAAAAGCGGAGCAAAATGAACTGGATGATGAATACGCTCTGTTTATGGTAACATGACTTTTTACTGACACTATTTCTGCTTTTCAAGTGCTAGTGCCAAGTGCCAGCAAGTGCCAATGCTATTGTATATCTCTCTTCCTTCAATATTTCTTCGCCTCTTTGACTGAGGCTCCCTTGCCTGGGTCTCTGCTCCAGCACTCTGCTATCCCATCTGTGGTCTTATTTACTGCATGTAGGGTGTACCCACTTGCATTTTCTGCTGGCTACAACTGTAGCTATGTTGATCAGATTGATTCCTCTCCACGTTAGCACGAAAGGCGCGACTTGCGTGAGAGTGCTAGCCCTACAGATTTCTGTGTTTCTAAACTGATTGCGGAGATAGATACTGAACATAGAATGTTCTATAGCTCTCTGGATGACATTTTTGCTCGGTCTGTTTTGTCAGCATTTAGACACATTACTCAGTGTCTGACTTGTGAGTTTGATGAGTATGTTGGTAATTTTCAACGTTGTAGACAATTTGCCAAGGCATATCCACCTAAACAGACATGGGGACTATTTGAAAATTGATAAATTGTATAAGTAATTGTGTGTGTATATATATATATATATATATATATATGTATGTATATATATATATATATATATATATATATATATAATATTTATAATACATCTTGCTGAACCTACATGAGGTTCTTCATTTAGATCTTTTAACAATGGATTTGGGGTAATTAGTAAGAGCAAACTATATTATGTTTTCAGTGTTTGGATAATAATAAACTATGTGGTAACTTATTGCAGAAAGAAATGGCACAATGTGGTGCACATGAAAGTAATAGTCAAAATAAAGCTGGATCATCAAAAGATAGCAGTCAACAAGAGGATGGGGACAGTGATATTGAGGTATAAATTTATGGTATTTTTTTAAGGTTTCTCCTGGAGTCATACTTTATACATTTGTTTACTTGGAGTTGAACCAAATGTTAACTTACTTAGCTCTACCTCTAGTACTACTATGATTTCAATGGACTTATTGGGTCAATGCTTATTTTATTTAGTCTTAGTTTAGTATATCTACTCCGTGCCAGTGATGGTATTTTACTGTTGGCTACTTTTTAACTTATATTCTGTTATCTAAAGAAAAAATAAAAAAGCAGCATGTATATAATTTTCTAAGTTAAACATTTATTATTAAATGTTAATATACATTTCTTTGCTTTTTTTTACAACCACAGGATGAATTAGCTACCCTACTAGGCATGAAGTGTGCTGTGTACCACACACACAAATGGGGTGGGCAACCAACCCTGCACAATGCAATGGTCAGTGCTGTGGAGCCCCGTCAAGATGATGACCAGTTCAACGATCTACAAGTACATTTATTTATTTATTTATTTGTTAAGGATTGCCAACAAAGTTTACAACTTAACATATACAAAACAATAAATACTTATTAATTAACATATAGTTGCAACTTCAATAGGCAACCACAACATGCACTTAAACATATATTTAAATGTACAAAAAAAAAATCTCTACTGATAAAATGAAATTAAAATTAACAACAATAATAATAATTGAAATCCAGTAAATAAATTAATTAAACTTAAGCTAAAGCTACAACTTCGTTCTTTTCTTAAATTTATATAGTGTATCACAAAATATATCAACAGTTTCATCTTCACTGAACACTCGATTATATAAACTAGATAGGCGGGGGACTGGCGAATGCTTTCCTACATTCGTTCTACACAAATGGACATGAAATAAAGGACGCGGCTGTCGAAACCAAATTTTTTTGAGAATAGATGGGCAGTCTATCATGCCGTTCATAATTGTATGTAAGAAACATAAGCCTAAAGTATTTCTCCTACCATTCAAAGTTTGCATGCCAAAGTGCTCAAGTCGGGCACTGTAACAGTTTACGTCATGAGGCGGCCTGAAGCGGTACGCCAGGTGTCATAGAAACCTTCTTTGGACTCTTTCAATTCTCTCAACGTAGACTCGATATGTCGGGGACCACACAACGCTACAGTACTCAAGCTTACTTCTGACATAGGCATTAAAAAGTAATAAGGTAGTGGAAACCTTCTTGAACTCCTTTCCATTTAAAAATAAATCCTAGTGATTTGTTAGCAGCGGCCAGCATACTGTCAATGTGAATAGAAAATTTAAGCTTGGAGTCCACCACTACACCCAAGTCTCGTATCTTAGAAACTTCTTTAAGAGTTTTATCTGAGATAATGTACTGGGTACTGAGAGGTTTACGTTTTAGTGTGAATTTAATACGGAAGCACTTACACGAATTCAGATACATTTTATTAATGTGACACCAATCAATGAGTCTATCAATATCAGCCTGCATCAAATCATCATCATTGAGACTTTTAATAACACGCATTATTTTAAGATCTAAGCAAACAAATAGCAGATCGAGTTCTTAAACAGCCTTTCAATATCATTAATGAATATAATGAAGAACAATGGCCCAAGGTTTGAACCTTGCGGCACTCCAGAGCATGAAATAAAAGGATTTGAACTATAACCATCAATTACAACTCTAGGACACCTGTTATTCAAATATGATTGACACCACTGAAGTAGGGAGTCCCTAATCCCGAAGTGACCTAATTTCTTTATCAATACACGATGATTAACTTTATCGAAAGCCTTGGAAAAGTCTATGCGTAGTAAAAAATACGTACGTATTGCATCTACTTGTCCTGAAGTATCGACTGCCAATGCTACATCATCTATGTACTGGGATAGATTTATGTCCGTAGATCGCTTCGTAATAAATCCGTGCTGATTCGGTGATAGTTTATTCCTGACATGCCTAAAGATATGACTGTATACTATCGACTTAAAGACTTTTGCCATGATAGACAATATAGAAATAGGTCTATAATTCGTAACCAAGTCCATTTTTCCATTTTTCTGAATTGGCACAATTCTAGCATGGTTCCAGTGTCAGGAAATATTCCTGTAGTAACAGACTTGTTAAAAATTATGGTCAATGGGACTGCTAGTTGTTCAGCACAATTTGCAAAAGCGACTGGCGGAAAGTTATCAGGACCTGAACTAAGGGTTAAGTTCTTAAATCAAGATGCTTGAGCTTATATTCCGTCGTTCCCATTGATTGAATGTAATTTCCGTAACACTCCCGCATTAGGGCGTCTGGTCGAACCGATTGCTGTACGTTTTGAATTTAACATGATACTTGTATTTAAACTTTAGTAAGTTTATCAAAGCTGGCGAAAACCAGACTGGATATTTATTAAATTTAGATTTGTAAGATAATGGTATACATTCTTTAACAATTCTATCCAAATGCTCGTAAAATATTTTAACCAGGTCATTTACATCGACAAACCGCTCATATAAATCATTGCAGTCAATTTTACCCAGTTGCAGATTGATAGCATCATAGTCAGCCTTGTGGAAGTTCGATTTAGGTTCTGTATTTGAATTGCAAGATTTATTAGGAATTGTAGTGATTTCAATTTCTATGTCCAAAGAGGGATGGTGTTTGTCAATATTTCGCAGTGGTCTAGTACATTCATAAATCTTAAAGTCTGGCATGCTGCTTAAAGCAAGGTCAAGAATACAATTGCCGCTGTTTGAGACATGGTTAAGCTGAACAAGATTATTTAAAGACATGAAATCTATGAAACTGCCACTCAAAGAACAATTTTCATAACCAGTTGGTGAACTGTGGTCCCGATCAACATCAGGGGCCTTACCATGAACTCTTATTACGATTCAGTTTAGGACCTAAAATGAATCGTAGTGAGACAGCGCTACATGAAGTGTATATCACCATCCCGCTTTTTTGACGTTACGAACCTGTACTGAACTGTAATAAGAGTTTATGGTAAGGCACCAGCTTTCCATATTATTCCTCCCAAATTAAAATCACCCATAATAATTGTCTCGCCATTACTCTCACAAGCACCGCACGACTTTACCAGGTAGTTGTGTAGAATAGATTGTGTTACCGGAGGAGACAGGTAAACAGCGCAAACATTTAACACTCGTGATTTATTTAATATAATTTGAGTCCGAACATCTTCGCAATCACTCTCCCACTCATTCATTCGTCGCGATAAATACTTTTTTAAAACAGCGATCTCTCTTTAGAACTGCAGATAGGTGAGCTTTCCCTGTCCCGCCTATACACATCATACCTGTCATCAAATATTTCGTTGTCAAAAAAACTGTTGCTTAGCCAAGTTTCTGTGAAAATAATGACACCGTAGTTATTTTGCAATATTTCCTTACGAACCTGTACGATATTCAATCTAAGGCCTCGAACATTTAGATAGTAACATATTAAATTGTATTTAGTTAGTATCATATAATAAATATATAATACAGCGTCCATGAGTGCGAACTGTAACAATTGGATCAGAGCGTTTATACATTCTTTGAATACATTCTTTAATTTAATTTAAACTTTCAAATTTACTAAATTAATAATAATATAGATTTATCCGTCAGTTAAGCAGGTGTAGCAAAACAAACGAAAAAGAGATATCCCTAGACCAGACAAAAAACAACATTAAATGCAGTGATTATTAATAATATTAGTTTAATTTTGACAAACACTCAATGGACTTAATCAGCACGTACTGCGCAGATTCATTCTTACGCAAATACACCTTGCCACCCTTAACCCATACAAACTTCAAATTAAGCTCCTTCGCCTTTGCTCTGGCCGCCGCGTGAATACTTTTCATGGTAGGTAATAGATGCTCACACACAAATATTGGGCGCCTATCACCTACGATTCCCAGGTGACTGCTATTTAGCTTGTCGGCGTTCGTAGCGGCTTTCTTGTTAAATGCAATGGCGGCCCCCAAGAGCTCATTTCGTGTCCTGGGGCCACTAAACTTTACCACAGCTTCGAAACTCGCGTACATAAATGTATATCAGCTTCATTGATGTTGCAATTAATAACTTGTGTCAGCTGCTTAAGCAGCTGATTTGGCGATCAAAGTTTTGTAATTAGATGTTTTGCTGTTTTTCCCACACCACCGAATAGAACAGCACGGCATGGTTAGAGATATTATCGTTATTACAATAAATGTAGAATATTTTTTGGAATATACGGAGACGTACACACAGGTCAGTAGTTGGCCCTTCCATATTTCAGTGCAAACGAGAGTTCATATTTGTAAGAGCTGTATTGCTAATGTGTTACCAGGAATATATGGCTCTTATTTCGTCTCTATTTCTGGTTATATACTCGATGCTGCATCCAAACAGAGCAAACCGGCCTTGTATGTATGCATGCACGCCGCGCGCCGTGTACGGTTGCACACATACGCATATTATAGCGATCGTGTTGCGTATCGCGTGTCGTCACAGGCGTCGTTCATTATAGAATTGAAGAGTTCGCTCGAGGTTTAAAAACTGCATCAAATACTACACGTATTCATTGTTGTGTTTCTGGTTGTTTGAACAAGAGTGCCACAAATTCAGAATTATTCAGCATTTTATTGTTATTTCATAATCGTACTCCTATAATCAAGACACCAATCCACGATGCTGGTATAAAAATTCAAAACGTATGTGTCTTCTCCTTTCTTTGTTTATTTCCTGCCTATAGTAAGCTCTATATAATACTGGAGGAAATAAATAGTGTTATTTTCTCTGGTGAAATATTCTTGTATTTGTATCATATATTCTTGTATTGATACAAACACAAGAATACAAGATATTCTTGTGTTTGTATCATTGATCGATGTTACGAATACTTTTTGACAGATGTCGTCACCATGTATGCGTTAACAGTAAGTACTGCATTTATTTTTTCCAATTATTTATTTTATTTATTTATTTATTTACAAAGGACATCCAAGAGCATACGTTTGTAGAACTTAAAAACTAATTTACATGACCAATAAGTGTTGCCAATTATAGGATATCACAGAAAAAATAGCATGACGTGACATAGTGAGTTTAGGGTTCATTGAATGCTAACCTAAATACTATGTAAACTAGGTAAACTCAAAAAGTAACAATAATAAAAAATAAAAAATTTAATATAAAAAGAAAAAAATTGTAATAATAATATTTGTAAATTTGCAACAAAATACAATCCAAATTAAAATTAAATACAATCCAAATTAAAATGATGATAAATATAAAATAGTAGAAAGTTACATAATTTTTTATGCCGCATAAACGTATGCTTAGTATTCGCGAAAATGTCAGTTGTACTAAAAGACTTGTTGTACGTTGTTGTAAGACGTGAAACGATCTCGTTCTAACCATATTCGTACGACTTGGTGGAACGTAAAAAACTTATTAAATTAATGTTGTTTAATTATAAATAATAAATTATGTTTACAAACTATAGGTACAACTAAAATAATAATGTGACAACCCTACGCTCTGAGCAAAGTGTTATCATTAACGCGACGAAAAGGTGGGAGTTGCACTACTTGTTTTATTATGATGCCCGAACCGACGACATCTGAATTGGGCAATAACCGTAACCCTTATAGGCTACCACCAGTAATGACGGTGAACAAATTTCTCTACCAAAACATCGATTACATGAGTACTTAGAATGGGCGAAAATATCAATGGTACTTAAACATCAGTTGTACGTAACTTTAAAGCGTGTTACGATCTGAAAACTAAAAGCCATTTTGAGCCATTTTGAGCAAGTTTTCAGTTTTAAACTCCGGAATGCATTGTATTTCTACATTGCAGGATCGCGAGTGCTATTCCACCTGAGATAAGCGACCACTAAGACTGGTAACAATAGATCTCAATTCACTATTTTCGGATTCCAAACAGGTTATAGCTTTGGTCTTGGCGTTGAGATCCATCTTCACTGCCTCGTATTTCCATTGCAGACTAATAAGAGTCTCGTCCAGCCTAGTCACACGATTAAGTATTTCGCTTGTCTGCCAGTCGATCTGACCCAAAATATTAGCTTTAAAATCATCCAATAGTGATTACATTTCTTCACGCATGATCAGGCGTAAATCCATCTCAATACCCTGTGATAAACCGACGACACTTTTGTTTTTGTTACGGTGTGTGATATTGGTCAACGCGGCATCAAGCGACTCGCGTACTGGTGTATCGGCTAAATTAATTTTAGGCTTCTTGCTAATACATGCTGGGCAAACCCAGGAAATCTTAAATTCCTTTGATAAGTCTTTAAAGAGTGTCGTTGATTTGCTTTTCCCCTCAATACAACCATAATGGTACATTATTCTACATTCAGCGCATTTTAGACTATCCGTGGTGGCAGCATGCGGACAACAACCATATTTCAATGTTGTTGACATTTTTATTTTTTTGTGTCTATACGTTACGCTTTATCTAAATCAAATTTGCGCTCAATGTGTTATCTTTAACATAGGGAGTAATCGTTACATTTAGTTTGCACTAGAACTGACGAGTCATTGGTATTCGATAAGTTGCAATTCGCACCCTAGGAGCTATATATTCATAATTTTATTCTCACTGCATCGTAATAATATGACTAAACACCGAGCGAGATATCGCGCGTAGATGCATAACGGACACGAGATGCGGTGCGTAGCGGTCTAGGCGTGGCTTGCGTAGCCTTTGCGTTGGTAGCGATTTGGGCAGCCTAGAGACGTTGAACTCCGGCGCAGCAGAGGTTAGGGTTGTATTCTAGAACTCTACTCAATGCTCTAGTCAGGATTTGAGTATGGTATAAAGCACTCGAAATCATACTCAAGTCCCTGCCATTAGGGTCGTATTTCCAGTGCTTGAAATCTTACTCAAGTCTGCTCAAATCCTGACTTGAGCATTGAGTACAGTTCTGGAATATGACCCTATATGACCTCGCGTCGCGTAGCCCGCTGACTGTGTTAACTTATTGAGGTAGGTTCGGGTTAAAATCCGTCGGTTATAAATTATTTTCAAAATGTTTACTGTGATGACACGCTTTATCCAATTTAGAAACGGTTTTCACGACGAGGAAGCACTTTTTAACACCTTGAATTCGACACTAAATACTGTGCATTCAAATTCACGTGAAAATATCGACAAATTTTATGTTACGGCGGGATAGTTCAACGCGAGCCCTCGCGAGCGAGAGTGTATGATGAATGACTGTACATAATACCTATATACCTTTTTTAGAGTGAGATATATATATATATAAATATGGACATGTTATGTCCTTATGTCCAAACTTTTGTCTGAATTGATTTCTTTGTTCATAGTAAAGAGTTCAAACAAAGAATTCGCCACCAGTTGATGAAGGAATATTTACTGGTATTCAACTTGTCACTCTAATTTTATCCAAAGGTACGAGTCCTGTACACTCATCCCACACATTCTGAAATGCTGCCTTGTCCTTTTTACTTGGATGGAGAGTGCAAGTTCGATGATGAAAAATGTAGGTGAGTTTGCAAACACTCTTTAACTTCCTGGGTATTTTTACCTCAGACATAAAAATTTTAACAATAAAAATAAATGTTCCAGATATTCCCATGGAGCTTTAGTAAGACTATCAAATTTGAAAGACGCAATGGAACCCGACTTCAGTTCTATTAGAGTGGGGAGCAGAGTTTTACTAAAAATTAAGCCACCAGATGATCAGGTACAGCAAACTCCAAAACTTACTACTTATTTTTATAAGAGACACCAGGGTAGTTTGCCATATGCTTAACAATAATTAATACCAGTTATTATTTGAGTGAAGTATTGTAATATTAAGAAGGGTAGGGAATTCTTCTTCCTACTTGTACTTTAAAACAGGAAAATCAGGAAAATTATACTTTATTTTTTCCCTCGATGACAGGATATAAGTTTAACAAAGAAGTCATCAGAAAAATACCACCTCTGGCACAGAGCAGTAGTGCGAAGTGTGGATTTTGACAAGCAAACGTGCATAGTTAAACTGGAACACGGTATCAAGACTGGGGAGAAGAGGAAATCCATTTCTGATGAACACTTTGTTAAGTTTGAAGATATCTTCCCATTGAATAGTAAGTTTTACAGTAATCCAAAGATTACAGGGTGGGCAAAGTTATGACGTAGGAGACTTAAGATCTCATATCACACCTCTGCAAATTTTACTCCTTAAACCGGTCTCTCTTTTGCTCCCTGTATTTGAAATAAGATAAATGTGATCGCCTCTTCGAGAAATCACACGGTCAGGCAACTTTTCACGCAAAAGAGCGAGTACCGTTGCTTGTGTGACACGTAACGCCGTCTTGTTGAAAATAAACGTCGTCCACATCAATATCTTCCAATTCCGGCCATACTAAATCATTAATCATCGTTCAACAGCGTAATCCATTCACCGTAACAGTTGCTCCAGCCTCATTTTCGAAAAAGTAAAGTCGCACAAGTAACGATACCATCGCTCTTATGCGTGAAAAGTCGATCCATTCCAGCCATTTTCCATTATTAAAGGCACACCCTCCTCTTTACAATTAAATTAACATCCAATCTTATTTCTTGAAAATTGAAAATTATCACTACCATGGTATTCACGTACAGTGCACAGAGGAATTCTTAAGATCTACTGAGTCACTCTGTAGCTCAGTTGGAGTCGTGACCTAGGTGTGGCAACAGACTCTGGTTCAAGTACCGTTAGGTCGGAGGAATTTTTTATGTTGCTCGATCTTTGTATCAATAATAATGTCAATTCATCACTTTTTTTTTTTCATTTTATACATTTTAATCATAGATGAAAATGACGAAGACTCAGAGTCAGACGAAAGCCTGAGCGACACGGAATATCCAACAAACAAATCAGTGCGTCAGGAAGAAACGAGCGGGAACGAGCACGGGCGGGCCTTGCTCATTGAAAAGAGCCTGCAGAATAACGCGCCTGCTATGGGCGAGTGGGAGAGGCATACTAGAGTGAGTATGTATAATTTTATTTTAGTTGCTTATGTCTATTCCATGGTTTAGTAGCAGTAGAGCTCCTTGTGAAAGAGTTTTTCAGGGTAGTACTGCCACCTTACCTGATTTCCGGTTTTGAAGAGTAAGGACAGAGAACAAAAAAGTAACGAGAATGGACACTCTCCGCCCCTCCCTAGCTTTAGATACCGCACTACGCTCCACACATTGACGGTCACATTCGAGGCTGTCAGCGAGCCGTTTTCGCGCTAAGACAGCTATGATATATTTGAATACAGTTTTCATTTATTCATTAAGAAACTTGTATGTTAATGTATAACATCATTGTACATTCCTATTTATAATGATCGAAAGTTATGCTGTGTACGGCTGTTTATCATCATCTAAATGGGATAATGAGAACAGTTTCTTTCGTTTTCTGAAAGATGAAACGAGGTAAGTAAAAAAAAAACTCATTCAGTTATTGTTAGTAATATGTAATACAGATTTATTATATCAATATAATGAGATGTAATATAGTAGACAAGGGTTCTCGAATTTTCAATATGTATTGCCGATAAATATGTAGTGAATATATTTAATAACTATGTAATGTAAAGTTAAAAATAAACCTTTAGGATTATTCTAGTCATTGAATTAACGAAAAATACAATATTATTTTGATATATTAATATTGAACCTAATGAACATAATTGTAATGAATAGAATTATAGATAACAGATTCGCGTTAGAATTTTGATTCGCGTTAGAATTTTCGCTACGTTGCCGCTCTGACCACGTACGAGAAAGTGATGCCTGCCACTTCACGCGCACATTTACGCGTGTGCTTTCGACCGTTGTATTGAGTGTCCGGGGACATGGGACTTGTCAACTTATATCTGAGAGTGTCGGGCGCAGTGGCAGTGCCCACAAGATCTTTGCGATTTAAAACTCTGACCGGCACAGCAACTGTTATGGATAGGCGTGTCGCTTGCCTGTTTAGACTGTACAGTCTGTCTTTTTGAAGACGGAGTTAAATGACATTTGCAGGGTTGCCAGTGTTCATAAAATTTCGATAGAATATTATCGACTGCAATCACTAGCCGCTTGCAAGCGGGCAACACTTTTGCGCAATGAACTGTCATTTTACATCATTTTCAAAAAGGCTATGGTGACCCGTCTCATTAGAAGTTATATTTGCTCAAATTTAAGCGAATCTCGAAGGACCAATGGCGCCCATACTTGGTTTTGGGGACACCTATGTTCGACAGTTGACGTCTTTCAGCTGATTATCGTGATTTATTTGTCTATTATTTATTATTTGTGCATTTTTGAAATACATGAGGTCATACAACCTTATGAGGTCTACAAACCAAGCAATAAAGCAAGTACTGTTTTTTTTAAATTTATTGCTTTGGTGAGCGCTGTAACTCGGTCAGGTTCTGGATTTTTTTCACTTTATATAAAAGTACTATTTGAGTGTGAGGTGAAATTCTACTTACCACTTAAAATTAAATGTGGACGTAAACTTAAAATGTGGCTGTGTGTAAACTTCTCCATCTGTATTACTTGATTTGTTAAGATTTTTAATTACTAATACAACGATCAAACACTAAGAAAAATGCCTTCGATTCGTTTGGAGTCGAACCAGCGTGTCTTCAAGCAATCTGTGCTAGACGCTTTCCCAACGGAACTTCGGAAGGAACCACCAGACCTCACGAATTTTTCTATGTGCTTGTTGCAGATTTTTGTTTTTAGTTTTTAACGACTTTTTGCTGTAGCGCCAAAATGGTTCGAATCCAGCCAAATGGAAGGAATTTTTCTTACTGTTCGATCTTTGTATTAAAAATAAACTAGTGGAGTAACTTCGCCAAAAATAATTGAATATCATAGAATCATTTTGACCTTTTCGAGGCGAGAGTGAATAGGCATTATTTAGGTGTGCATGCCCCATCATCTCATCGTCACTTTCCGTCAGATGAGAAGGAGGTCAAAAGTGCACTTTCATTTTTATATAATGAATAGTAATCCTGACATTCAATAAAGTTAAAAAATATATCTTTAATTTCCGTTAATTTCAACAATGTATTATAACACACAGGGCATAGGTTCAAAGTTGATGTTAGCAATGGGCTACGTGCCGGGCACTGGACTGGGCGCGACCGGCGAAGGACGCGTGCGCCCGGTTGAGGCGCGGGTACTGCCCGTCGGAAAGAGCCTTGATCATTGTATGGCCATTTCTGAGAAGGCTGCAGCTCAGGATCCGGTTAAGGTAAGGAATTTGGATGTGAATTTTGGACCTAGTTAGGATGCGAGAGTATTCACTCCAACGAGTATATAACCAGAAATAAAGACGAAATCTCATTTAATTTGTTTGAAAACTATGCTGCCATATCATTACGGTGACAACTGCGCTCCGATTGGCCAGCCCTGAATTTGAAACAATTGACGAGTGTTGTCAATTGTTTCACTTCAAATCGACCAGTTTAACTTGAGCCTCGCTGCAATGGACGAAAACTGAAAAATTACATGTTTATGATTCCGTTTATTTTGTAATTAGATGTTTTGCTGTTTTTCTCACACTCCACCGAATGGAACAGCCCCCCATAGTTAGATATATTATATCTATTACAATAAATACACAATATTTTTGTAATATACGAAGACATACACACAGGTCAGTTATTGGCTTTATTTATTGTTTAATTGTTTAATTTTATTTCATAACATTCTCCTAAAAAGTATTTATAACATTAACAGTATCCACGTTTATAATTAGTAGTACTTTTTACCTGAAATACAGGAATTTCCTAGTTCAGGTACATGTGTTATTTTTACATTAAATCGCATAAGTAGTCTTTAGTTTTCTCTGTACATTATGTTACTGAATAAACAATTTTATTTATTATTATTTATTTTTTATTGGCGCTGTAATATTTGAGCTTTCTAATTTGTGAATTCAGCACAAATGAGAGTTGATATTTAAAAGTGATATAAGGCCCATTTACCTGATGTTGCCAGGGATCTCATCTCTATTTCTGGTTATATACTTGATGGTTCACTCACTTCACTATATTCTCCATTTAGGACTGATTCTTTTCAGTTGGTATCAGGGTCAAATGCTTTCCTGTAGGTACCTATGTAAACATTTAAAAGTGGACATATGTGCCCGCTAATTACCCCAATGGAAGACATGCGAGATGATATGCACCGAACCTAACCGAATTTACCGCAGGTCGCGAAAATCGATTAAGACCATATATTTTCTAGTGTTAAATACGTGTTGAATTATTGACGTGCAATTTCGCTCGATAGTAACCAGCTAACGTTAGCTTATAAAGCGCATTATGATCGGCGTCAAATGTTTGGCAGGATGGCGCAATTACTGCTGCATATTTCAGCCGCGTAACTTCCGTTTACATTTTTCAATTTACAGGTGGAACAAAAACTAAAGAGAATGCAAAAAAGAGAAGAAGAACGCAACAAGAGAGCGTACGAACGCGAGAAAGAGAAGGAACGACGCAACGTGTTTAATTTTTTGAACAGAACTCTAGGCTCCACGCCCGACGAGTCGGAACCATCAAAATCGTCAATGGACATAAAACAATCGACAAGCAAAGACTTAAACATTGAACAATTTAAAATCATGGAAGACACGAAAAAAGCAGAACGAGAAATCATAAAATTAAACAGCAGTTTATCGAAATACCAACCTGGCACACCTGGTCACAGGAACATTAATATGCAAATATCGGAAAAGAACAAAGAATTGAACCAGCTTAGAAGTAAAGAACGCGAGATTACAAAGGAACAGAATCATAGGAAAAATAAACAAAAAATGACTGTTTTTTAATTCCTATTTAAATGTTACATTATGTATTTAATGAGTCGTGTTTTATTCCAGCGTGACTATAATTGTAAAATTAATTACTTAAGCAATAAACCCTGGTAGCCTAATGGTTTTGATATGCCGCCTTTCAAGCAGAGGTCTTGGGTTCGAATCCGGGCTCGCACTTCTGAGTTTTTCATAATTTATGTGCGAAATTTAATTTGAAATATACTATGAACTTTTCTGTGAAGGAACACATCGTGATGAAATCTGCACGTCGAAGAAGGTTCACAACGCTTGGAAAACGTGTGAAGTCCCCAACCCGCATTGGGTCAGACTGTGGCGGACTATAGTCTAAACCTTCGCCTGAGAGAGACTCGTGCTCAGCAGTGGGGTGTATAAATGGGTTGCTAATGGTAAACAAGATAGATAAGAAGTCGTGATTGCGTCGGTTGTAGTCTCAAAAAAGTAGTAGTTTTCCTATTCACACTGCAATAAATAGGCTTATTCCAGAAGCACCATTTTTTAATCTCGAGAACCACAGCACCTAGCTTAGATCTGAACGCACTCACAAAAAGTCGTAATTTAGGTTGTAGTCGCAAAATTTAGTTCAGGTTTTTTCGAGATTCAAATTAGTGCCGCCAGATTAAGCTTATCCCAGCGGCGGACCGACAAAATCCACTTTTCTGCGACTAGAGGCAAACAAAATCACAACTGCGCCACAGACTAAATAATAATAACGCACATAATCAACATAGCCCCGCACTAGGGACACCCTGTGTCGCGGGTGCGATAGACACAAACATAGACAACCACAAATTACACCCAAAGTTCTGACGAATGACATTAAACGTAATTTCATTTTAAGAACTGAATTGCTGAGTTTGTGAAATAGAAATTGCCAACATTAATGTGCTAAACGTTAAGAACGAATGAACAATAAACCACATTAATAATATATAATATAGGATAGGCAAAGAGTACCTTGTTACATACTGTAGGACTGTAGGATAAGTGACATAATAATGTGGGGTACGTCATAGTGACCAAGTAGTTTTATTAATGGGCAGCTTCACATTTATAAGTCTGCTTTGTTCTTGCTTAGTAAAATTATTATAAAAACTTGATTATCGTTATGCTGGCATAAGATACGCTTTAATAAAATTTATTTATATTTACTCGATAACTAGAAAAATTTTCTTAAATAAAAATATTTTAACTGATTTATATGTTAAGATTCTATTAAGTGTTCTCTTGGTGTATGTTTTTCCAGTGGGGCTGACATGTTCAGTAATGATCAAAGGCCCTAATAAATCAAGATTATTATTAAAAAAAGCCTTTTTTTATTTCATATACGCAATTGTTATGTGCAAATTGTTCTGTGGAAGTGTGAAGTGGGCGTTCCTTTGTAGCCATTGTTATATCTACCACAACCAAACCTTGTTCTGCGTCAACGCTCGCTTAAGCCGAACGTGTGCTTCACTACGTAAACCATTTTATGTCATCGGTAATTGTTATTTTTGCTAAATTAAAATGATATTCCACGTAATTCTTTGTTACTGGAATAATATTGAAGTGCGACCGTATCTGTGGTGATGTTTATAGGATTCCTAGCTTTAATTGAATATTGTGCCTTCTAGTGGTGAGTAGCGGCACACCTAAGCCAAACAGTTCCTTGTTTGACTTAGGAGTTCCATTGATTTGTTGATGATAGTTGGAAGAAATCCCTTCATGGGGTCAGCTCGCCTCTGTACACTAACATTTTCGTTTGTTGAAATTTGTTTTGTTGTACATAAAGTGTTTACATATAAACTATCAGTCTATCGTGACAGGCCTCGGATCTTTACGCAATAGATGCCCTTGGGTAAGTTAACATTTTCACAGTATAATAAATATTCGTTTGTATGATTTTAACTGCCCAAAGTATCCAAAATGGTACAAAAACGGTGGTTCCCCAGAAGTTCATGTATCCTAAATCTCATTGGTATTAAATCTAAGGAATGTGAGGAAGCGTATTGGCTACGTGCATTTAGTCATTTGATATAAATGTGTCCAAAGTAGATGTGCGAACATTTTTTCAACTTGAAGTACAGAGAACGTTGGTACTTGGTACTTGGTGTAACGGGCTGGTGTCAGAGAACGTTATAATGAGAGTCCTCCTTTCTGGTGGCATATGTCAATCAGTGGACTAATAGAAGGTTAGATTGGTATGCCCAACAGTGGGCGTCGTATGGCTGAATGATGATAGGTTGGTAATACAAACACGTAAAATAATTACAAATTTTTCTATTTTTATATATGTGATGTTTTTTAGTTTAAAATAAGCGTACATGGCATAAAATTACATTTTAATAATATGAAACATTTTTGTATAAATTAGATATTTGTACTATCAAACAATATGTATGACAACTTATACACGTTAATGGGTAGTGTGACTAGCAAATAACATTTGCTGAAAATATATAAAATTGTAATTATTTAGAGACAGTGGGTCAATTTTTTGTTTAAACCTATTCAACTAATATTATCTAAACTTATACCTAGTTTAGGTATGGAAAGAAGGCTTTCTAAACACACTTGAAGGAGTAACAACAAGGACTTCAGGTTCTTGTATTGAACATTATGAGTACGAAAAGCTTTTTGGGGTAAAACAGGGTCTCTGTTCGCTACTCATAATGTGCTTTTTTTATAACTGTACACTATAAATAATATGTATTAAACAGTGTTCCTTCAATATCAATTGGGCCAATCTTGCAAGCATTAATGTTTTAAAATTCGCATAGTATTTTATTTTGGAATCTAAAAACTCGCATTACAATTTATCTGTTAAAATTTCTTATGCGATATCTTATTCACTTGTTGAAAACTGCGTGTATTCTTCTTACTCCATAGTCATACAACACCATGTAAATGAACACAGCAAAAACACTACAATCAACATAGGTGTTATAATTATAACAATTAATTGTGTTGTACAACAATAACATTTCAAGTTAAAAGAACAACATTCACTTAAGTTTGCTACATGAGCATGGTATTTGTACTTCTTGGGACTGACTTGCAGTTATGTATTGTACAGTAAGCCTGAGCAATTTTTAACTATACGGTACCTACATTGAGATCGCTTGCACGTTTTTTATATTAGGCTCAATTTAAATTGTTGAAGAATGGGTATGGAAGCGGAATTTAGTAGCATAATGATCTTAAATTTATTTTATTAATGTAATTAAGGACTAACGTGCCGCGCAAACGGTGTCTTGTGTTGGATACAAGCAACAGGCGACTAGAAGCGAATATTATATTTTTCATATAATTACGGTTGCCGCAACGGCGTATGAAAATAGTGTATGCGCTCCTAGTCGCCAGTTGCTTCTATCGTTTCGCTGTTGGCGCGGCGCCTTAGTGCCCTCAAAATTTTGCAATGCCCCTGCGAGTTGTTACATGTTATGTACCTACATTAACTTTAGAACACTTGTTTTATAACATTGTGACTTGCAAATAAAGTATATGTATATGAACATTACGAGCTAAACAACAGGTCGTGTGTCTCGGGAATTCCCGCTGCTAACGTGTTGTATCTAGTCTGTACTTTACACTATGGATATAAAGCTCATTATGCTATGTCCAACTTCGTTGCAAAAATTCCCTATACACCGTTCTGCGGCATTGTAAATTGAGCCGTAGGCTGCATTTATATCTGAACCGCTCATACTGCTTATTGGGATCTCCGAATTCATATTGTGTTTTATCTATCTCTCATATCGCATTGAAGCGCATAAGTAACAGCAGCCAGAATTCAACACAGTTGATTAGTGAGAGTTTTGGCTTAAGTACAGTCGGCGTCAAAATAAATGTCGCGTATGAACCTCATTGATTTTAAACCGAATTTCAGTTGTTTTTAGATGAATATGCATTTTGTGTTGTTTAAGTTATTATTAACATACAATGTGTTGATTTGCATTCTCGCCATATTTACAGAGGTCATTCTATATCCGAAACTAAACCCAAATCACTAAGAAAATAAATCGAAAAATAAATTTCCTAAATTGTTATTTTTTATTTAATTGCGGTAACCACGCTTGATCCAAAGGTCATTGACTTGCACTACACGTGCCACAGGTACCGGCAACCACGTGAACAATGGCGTTTTAGATCCATTTGGTGGTAGGGTACTAGCAGGGTCGGGGGGGATCGTATTTTCTGCTTTTTCTGTTGTGAAGAATATGTTAAGTTGAAACAAAACTCTGCGTATTTGCTGTGGAGTTAGGTATTTCTAGCACTACTTTCATGTAACCTAAAGTTGGTAAGTACCAAATCTAAGTTACAAAAAATATTTTTTTAGTCATCTTTTCTAACTAATGTAAATAATTAGTAATAACAATACTAGTACATAAACATAATTTAAAAAATAGGTAAATTAGCGATCGAGAAAGATTACGTATCGCTCGGTGAAGGGAGTAGCGAGGTCCCTGTTCTCCGCTGTGAATACATTTGGGGGCAATTTTACAAAACTTTACTAGATGCAATTAGCCAGAATATTGAACAGAATATTTTTTTAAATATTTTTAGATGATTTAGCATTATCTCTATTATTAATTTCTTAAATACGGCGAGAATGCAAATCAACACACTGTATAGATGTTTTATTAACTGTTAATGTTTTCGAACACTTCTAACGCTTCTAACATTTTGATGCTTACTGTACATATAATTACAATAACTGTAAATTTGCCATTTTGTAAAACGCGAATTCAGTGTTACCTTCAAATTAAAATTTACCAAAGTTGTCACTGTATTTATATATTTTTTTTAAAAAAGCTACGCCTTTTATATCCTTAAGAGCTAATTTGAGAGAATTGTCTAAAGACCCACTGTAATATCCCAATATTCATTTACAAGTACCATAATATCATCGTCAGCGGACACAAGCTAATACGAATATGTACTGACGCTGCATTTGTCATGTGACAGCCTGCGTACGCGCAACAAACAACTATCATTACGTGTCTGCATTGAAAACTCACAAATATTATAATTTCCTAAACAAATTCATCACAGAGATTTGTTGAATTATCAAACTACAAACTGACGGGTTGTTCTCATTAGTTCCGTTGACAATACCTTTATTTGAAATATTATAAGGTGAAACAATGAACGTTCAGAAAATTAAGAAGTTGACTGTACTACTGGGATTTATTTACCCCTATTCCTTTCTACATAGTAGAATAAGAACAAGTATGGTAACTCCGTCCAAAACGTCGCAGCGAGGCTTGTATGTGTGCGTGCCCGTCGCGCAACGTGTACCGATGCACATACTTGTAACTTTAACTAAGAATGCTCTAGCTTTGCACAACACTGGTCGTACACTTGTTTTTATTCTACTATGCTTTCTAGGTCGACAGCCTTCCGCTCCAGTACAGGTCCGTGGAAAATAGTACCATCAAGGGGATTGTCAACGGTACATGCTAGGAACAACCCCAACTGCCACCATTACCTTTCATTCTCGCTCCTGCATTCTTTGAGTTCTATTTACATAAGTGCCTTTGCCATTATAGTAAGTAATATAATACAATAGAGAGTTAGAGACAAATTAAAGAGAGACATCCTTTGTACTAAACTAAACCTCTAAATAATAAGTACACGCGTTTGACGGCGATTCGAACGTCGTTTGTTGATAACTTTTGTGATATCTTTATTACAGATTGTGATAGGAGCCGCCCGATGCGCGAATACACACGGATGAGATTCAAATTTATTCAGTTTACAACCCACCCCCTAACCGCCTCAATCGAACGTTTCAACATGAAATGTCAAATCGTAATTCAAAAACCTCCTGGTAAAAAATTATTAATAACTCCATACCTATTTCAAAGGTAAGGATGCGGGTGAAACTAGAGGCATGTCGGATTTGTCAACTTTATGTATCAGTGACGGGTGCAGTGATAATGTCCCCGAGATAATTACTCTATGTGGTACTGCAACTATTATAAGTAGGCGTCTCGTTAAGACGAGGGTATGCCACGATATGTTCGTGCTGTTTGACATTCCACCCTGTACGTATATCTGAATTACAAATTGAAACCGTTAAGCCCTTGTAGCGGCGATAAAAGCCGAACACGCATTAGACAACACCGTCGAGTCAGATGATGTCATCAGCATTTCACTGTTATGTATGTGGATTAGGCTAGCAGCATAACTAACGAAGTCATGACATGGAACGCTATATTTAAGCGCAAGTAACATAGTATATTTACACGATCTGGCACACACACATACACACACACTAACGCACATACTCAATATAGCCCCGCACTAGGGAAACCCTGTGTCGCGGGTGCAATGGACACACACACAGGCAACCACACATTACACCCAAACTCACGAGATAAATAAATGTAGGACATACAAATATTTCTCTCGACTCAGGAATCGAACGTGGGACCTCAACGTGGCAGTCCGGCATGGTAACCGTTCAGCCACAGAGGCAGTTAAAACATGGCAAAAACATGTTTCCGTAATTCGGTTATGTTTTTTTCGCTATGTTAGTGAATAGTCAGGAACTATAAACTGCTGTACACGACGGACTAACTATATTTTTCGGAACTATCAGTGAAATGCTGATATAAAAATCAGCGATTGTGGTGTGACTTAATACGTGTTCACCCTTTATGTTGCTTACGTCAAAGCGGTTACAGTGGGCGATTAAATAAACGGACGCAGTATATAGCGTCGATAAACAAATTTCTTAGAACAAAAGTTCTTGATTATTTAAATTTTTGGCGCTATAGAGCTGACCGTAGCCGAGAGAGGACGCACGCCATAGTGTCATTAACATTATCGAAAACGGGCACATTCGAACGACGCGCCAAGTCTGTGATGTAGTGCCGCCCGCGGTTATAGTCCTTTACCGCCGTCTCACTGTACTGTAAACAAAAACAAGCATGTTATTTGTAATTTACATATTTGCTTCCACTTTATAGGCATTCAATATGTGGATTATAATGTTAAGTACTATGAAATGAGTGGGTTGAATTTTACGACTTCTCGATGCTTGAGTGTGGGACGTGTTGTTTTCGGTTAGTTCAGTAGTTTTGTTACGTTTGAAGAGACTAATCTTAACATCTGAATCAAACTATTAATTTCTTCTTACACATACAGGTCGACATTTTATTTTTATACGATATTTTTAGTACACAATTCTATCCATAAATTATATTAACAAATTTCATTATAACACCCTCTAAATCGAGATAAAAATACAAACCAACTCATTTTAAATCTTCGTACGTATTTTACTGAAGTGTTTGAATAACTGACTTTTCACGATTTGTGGGGTTACCATTGTGAAGTGTTCGATTGATGTTTGAATTTAAAAAAAAAATTCACGCTCTGTTCCTTGCTTCGACGTTCCATTGTTTTGCCAAGGGAACATATTGAACAACAAGTGAACCTTTTGCTTTGAACAACCCAACAGCGGTGGTACGTCTACTTAGCTAAATTTCTAATCTAGTATCATGTGATTTGATTTACTTTGTCTAATTGAATAATTATTACTACGTATTCATAACTTACCGAGTGTGCCCCAGCCTGCGGCGGTAACATGGGCTGTACTAATAGCACAGTGTTTTTGGGGCGTAGGCCCATGTAATGCGCAGCCAGTACCATCGCGGGGAAGCACGGCGCTTCACTGCTCATCGAAAATACCAGAAGCCGAGAACCCAGAAGGAGTGCTTCGTCATACGTCCCTGTATGAAGACAAAACATTTGTAATAATTGGTCGTTAGCAAGCTTTTGCGCTTACGTCTTTATTAGACTTCAGAAGTTGACAACTTCTGTTTATTCGACTACAGCGAAAGAAAAGGATGTATGTTGTATCACCACTTGTAATAAATATACTGAAACTGACCTGTAAAAGGCTGCGGCGTAATATCTTCAGTAACCGTATAAAAGTCTGAAGCGCTGAGACGGTCAGCAAGTTCAGCCGTCGCTGGTTTCTCCCTTAGCTGAACGTCGTCGTCGGTGGGCGCAGGCGTGGCAGTAGCGGGGCGGGGTTTCTTGTCGTGGCGGGGGGACTCGGGGTGCGCGGGGGCGGAGCGCCGCGCAGGCGCCGAGAACATGCGCGTGTAATCATTAGCGCGTGGTATTACGTAAGTGAATCCTTCTCGTCGCAATATTTCTTCTGGCCGCGTGTGTTGTGACTAGAAGCAAATAACACAGAATAACAGGTTATGTAATATTAAGTTTATTGAATATCACGATGATATTCAATTGTTTTTGTGTAATATATATTTTGAACAAAAAAGTCGTTAAAACCAAAAACAAATTTGTTTTGTTGTGCACATATGCCCGTTCTTTTAGTTATAGTGTCCTGTATTTAGGTCTGCAGGAAGAAATTTCTATTAGAAATAAGCAGAACCTTTTGTTTTTAAATTCGCTTGTATTCTTTGTGACTTGTTGTATTTTTCCTGTACAATAAACTATTAAATAAAATATCTGCAACAAAGAGAAAATCATTAGACCTGCTAGTTCGTTCCGTATTTCAGTTGGGAGAGCGTCAGCCACGGTATGGTAAGGTCGCTGGTTCGAGTCCAGCAGAATTGAAGGAATTTTTCTGTGTTCGATTTTCTGTACTTTATCACTAGGACGATTATCTACTATGTTGATGAACATCAATATGGAGTTACAAGATATGGGTACTTACAGGGAAGGCCCCACCGAGGTAGACATCATGCGTGGGCGCACCCAGCATGGCGGGCAGCCGCTCGAGGCGGCGCTCCGTGCCTGGCGTAAATAACGACTCGCCACTTGAACCCGATTCCGCGCTCGCCACTTCACCCTCGCCGCTGCGGCTGACATTGCTCTGAACAAAAATCAAATTATGCTAAAATCGGCAAAGCTTGATTGAAATATTTTTGTTATCGTGTTTAGTGAATCAACACGATTTCGATATTGTAATTAATTTTTTAGGCTTAGTGAAAACAATGAAATCATATTGGTACTGGTACTGGCGCACTATAAGTTTCTGGAACTGACCATTTTTACATAAACAATATTTTAAAACTAATTACAACATTTGAGAATGGAACTCTTTGGCTGTAGAATACAGTTTGTTTCATCTGACTGTCATTTGTTTTTACATTGTGGCGTTATTTTAGAAATTGGTAGTCTACAGCACCAAGGATCTAACTCGTGAAAGTTTTCGTAGTATAATTTTCTACGACTGAACAGCTCAGCGGAACTTCGCTCGGCTTCAAATTGCTCTTGGCGATGAAGCACCATGCAAGACGACTATTTATAGCTGGTTTGCAGAATTCAAAGGCGGTAGTGTGAATCTCAGTGACGAATTTCGCGACAGTCGCCCGTCCACTGCTGTGAACAACAAAAATATCGATGGTGTGTGTCGTGGGATCAAAACAAAACAGGTATGTGACATACTATGAGATTCGGGCAACTTTAGGCATAGGCATGAGTCAAATACAATCAATACTACACAAACATCTGGGTGTGAAACAGTTGTGCCCTTGGTGGATCCCACACAATTTGACTGAGGCTTGGTGCAATGCTATGCTTACCAGAGTCTACGAAGGGGCGTCAAATTTGGTGTGGGACGAAGTAACAGGTGACGAAACATGGATTTAAAGTTACGATCCCAAAACAAAACTGCAATCGAGCGTATGGGTCTTTCGAGATGAGTCGAAACCAACCAAAGTGGCGCGCGTGCAAAGTGGATGATTGCTTCTTTTTTTTAATAAAACTAGACACGTGGCTACTGTTGCTTTAGAGAATCGTTGTACCGTGAATAGTGATTGGTACACGACCATTTGTATGCCAGAAGTATTATAATACAGTATTGACAAACTCCGTAAAAATAACTGTAAACGCCGAATTATCTTGCACCACGATAATGCCAGTTCTCACACGGCCAGACAGACAAATTAATTTTAGAACGTGAATAACGTTGACCTTATGAGCCATCCAGATATAAATGGGTATGACAAACTATATGATACAACAAAAGCGCATCTCGGAACAGCTGTATACATAAAAAAAGGTTTAAGATGGACTCAGATAGAAGTGATACCGGGCCACAATAGCGACGATAGAACAATTGAAGGGGTGGCTGTTAAACTCACCACCAACTTCGAAACCGGAGAATCTATCATAATAAGGGGTCTATATCTACCTATAACACAATATAGAAACATTCGGAGAGAGGTGGAAGATCTCCTCGAAAGCAGCGATTCTATTAACATAGGAGACCTAAATTTACGAATGGTACAGTTGAACCATAGCAGAACTACCGGAGCTGGACTCGAAATACAAAAACGTATTGATGACGGTCTGTGCAAGTTGAAACACACAGGCTTACCTTCTAGACCGTGTCACGCAGGAAACGGTATACTGGATGTAGCTCTGATTACCGGAGAAGCAAGATATTCAAATATTTACTGCAAACACCTAGAATCAGTATCATCCGACCATCTGCCTTGGCTTTTTTGCATGGACATCACTATGGAAGAAGAACAAAATGTAACGAGAAATATGCGACCACTGTATGATAACGAAGACCTCGCAAAGAGATACATTGAGTTAATTGAATATAATCTCGATCCAAACAAGATGATTGAAACAAACGAGGACTGCGAGTTGTACATAAAAAACCTTGAAACAACAATAATCTCAGCTCTGGACATAGTTGCACCAAAAAGGACACAGAACAAAAAAGAATTATTACCACCGGATACAGTCCCGACCTGGCACCTTGTGACTTTTGTCCATTTCCAAAAATTAAGAACCAGTTACGCGGTCAACGATTTTCATCACCTGAAGAGGTTGTCGAAGAGAATAAAAAATATGTTTCAGAGATTGTCACGGAGGAGTGGCATAAATGTTTTCAAAATTGGTTCATTCGTATGAAAAAGTGCATTAACGCTAACGGAGAATATTTTGAGAAACAATTAATTTCAGACCATTTATAGTATTTTTTTCTTATCCATTCCGGAAATTTATAGTGCGCCACACGTAGTTAACACGTCATGTCTTATCTTTCCCACTTTATTCAATGGCCCAACTTCCATGTTATAAATTCAATGGAACGTCCGACGATTATACACTGGGTAAATTTTGATCTGGTACTCATCACTATCAACTGATTTATATATGAGGCCATGAGAACCATAGTGGCCTAACTCATTTTTTTACAATATTGAGTTTATGATTTTTTCCAGTTCAAATTGATCATTTTGATAGAACCAGAAAGGTCTAAAAGTGATACAACGAATTTTCACTAGATGGCAGCATAATCATTGTTATGGTTTTTAGTCTGTGATCTAAATTTGAGGTGCCATACTGGCCTAAGTAAGATAGGCCACTATGGCTTGTCCATTGAATTAGGCCACTATGGTTCTCTTGGCCTCATATACGTCCCACTGCTGGGCACAGGTCTAAGGCGAGGGTTTAGGCCATAGCCACTGCCACCCTGGCTCAATGCAGGTTTGGGACTTCACAGATTTGCAGAGGGTTGCGAACTTTTTTTTATAACTTCAAGTGACGGGACGAACATGTCGTGCGCCTGATGGTAAGCTACACGCCTTTCCAGAACAGTTGCAGTGCCACTCACAGCTTTAAATTGCAAAGATCTGAGGGTCACTACCACTGCGACCGGCACCTTGAGACATAAGTTGACAAGTCCCATTTGCCTGTAATTTCACCAGCCCCCTTACCCTTCAAAACCGGAACACAGTAATGCTGATATTACTTCTTATAGAAATAGGTAAGGTGGCAGTACTACAAGGAGCTCTACTGCTACTTTATTCGACCTTTTTCCTTCACCGAGAAGCTCTTGGTAAATTTCAAATTAAATTTCGCATATAAATCCCGAGAAACTCAGAATTGCGAGCCCGCATTTGGATCCACGACCTTGAGACGCCAAAGTAGGTCAAACCATTTGCCTGGCACGGTTAGTACTCATAGTGCCCGTAAATTGGAACATTATAACTTGGACCTATGTAAGGCGAGAGTGAATAGGATGCGACGGAAGATCAGCGCCAGTCTCCAGACTGGCATTACGCTGAGCTGCAGCCTTGTCATGGTAGCAACACATTGTTTTATGTATTAATTTTTTTTTACTGTTTATAATTCGTTTTAATGTTATTTTATTTCCTACGTACTTTTAACTGTTAATCTAATAATTGTAATTTAAGTCAAATTTTGTAATATAATTTTTTAAATTGTTATTATTTTCTCTTTCTAAATTTACATGTGTTTATTGATGTGTGAGCCGTGAATAAATCTTTTCCTATTCTTCTATTCTAATAGGCATTATTTAGGTGTGCATGTTACATCGTCGACCTCATTATCACTTTCCATCAGGTGAGATGGAGGTTAAATGCGCACTTTTGCGTTGCTGCAATGCGTTTATTGTTGTTCCCTAGCCATTATTGTCATTACAGCGAATTTACACTTTAAAAAAACAATTAATCTAATTTATTGCTGAATAAATATCCGCTGTGTCGGAGACTCGTTTCATATTTACCAATCGTTTCGCTTCTCGTAGGTCAGGGACGTGAGTTTAGTCATGTACACAGTTTATTTATGTTTAACGTAACAGGTGCAGGCCAGGCCTAACATATGAAAGACAACCAATTATATCATTTTAAGTTTTTCGGCATTTTCTAATAAATCTTTCTATACAAACAGAGATAGGTAAGCGCCGGAGTTTTAACTAGGCGCTTTGTTATTCGGGTAAGGGTTCATAAGCGGACTGTATCAATGGATTTGGGTGGGTGCTAACAAAGAGTGAGCAAGGCCAAAGTAAATATACTTAGAGCTTACTAATTTATTAGAAAACACGTACAGCTATCAATCCAAAAACAAAAACAATAGTGAAGAAAAGGCGCCACAACAATCACATTTAAATTTTGAATTTAATTATAGAACTACACTTAAAAAGACTATATAAAATATATACAAATTGAATTGGTTCACTTGAAAATCGCATTGAAATAATAAATCGATACAAAAAATCGTTAGATCGTATGTTCCCTGAATCGATATTCTTGATAGTAAATCGTAATGTGCATCCTTAGTAGTGAGAATCCATAGGATTGCAAGGTAAGTATTGTGAGTTGCCTTTTTTTTATTTATAATAGATTTTTTACATCAAAATTTGTATTTGGTATGGAATTACACCAAATACCGTATTCGCCGTTTCTGCCAACGTTTTGGACAGAAATGGATTAAAATCTGGTGCTTTTGGAAAAAACTCGTTTAAAATCGGGCGAGTTGACTGGGTTTTAATCCACTGCCCATCTCTGTAGATAAAACTGTATACAGATACAAACGCTTTTATAACTGTTTTTTATAATAAAACCATCCTCAAAAGTTTGCTAATCCGCTTTCGCTGTATTCGTCACATCTATTCGCCAAGATTATCTAGAATGTAACCGTTCGGTCTCGGAGGCAGTTACAATAATAGCATAAAATTACAATAGCAAGATCAAGGCCGGATCTAGGAGCGGCAGTTATCATAGAGAAATAGAAGAATGTCACCGACAAGAAGTTATAAATAAAATCACCCATACACGAGTGTTACGGTGCTACCAATGCACGGATTACAAAACTATAACCATAACACTGATGTACCCCCATTGTAACAAAATCAGAATCGGCGAAAACGGTTCACAAAAGTCAGTGTAGTCGTGTACCATACACACAATACCAAAAAAATACGGCCGAATTGAGGACCTCCTTCTTTTTTAAGATCAGTATAGTAACATATTTTACCGACGTCTCGAAAATTACTTGATAAAATAAAAATTGCACGCTAAGATTATTTCCGCCGGCTGATAAATATCTTCACGCTATTCCTGATTGCCATTGGCATGGGGCCAGTGCGCGATTTCAACGATTTCTGTGGATTTTTAACCTTCACCTATACAGCTTTCCATAGAAATAATTTGTGAAGTAAAAAAAAAGATTTTTACAAAATTTTATTAAACTTCCACCTATAAAACACCCACCTCTACACCCATCTCTAACACCTCTATAAAAGAGATCTGTGCTCAACAGAAAGACGTAATACGACTAGATGAGCATGTCATGTACAGATATTATTGAGTAGTAACAAAAGCTTCGAAAAGTAATTAGAAATGAGCGTATTCAAATTATGAATATTACTGCGTGATTTACTAAGCTATCGAAACTTTTGTGCAAGTATAGGAAATTAAAACATTTTTTCGGATTTAAATCGTGTCTTCTAACAAACTCTCGTTAATAATAACTGCCTCTGTGGCCGAACGGTTATCATGCCACGCTGAGGTCCCAGGTTCGATTCCCGGGCCGGGAGAAATATTTGTATGGTCTACATTTATTTCTGTCGTGAGTTTGGGTGCAATTTGTGGTTATCTATATGTGTGTGCTTGGCACCCGCGACACAGGGTTTCCCTAGTGCATTGGTTACGTTGAGTGTGTGCGTTATTATTAAAAAAAATCTTGTTTACCGCCACTTACACTCAATGTTCAAATGTTTTTCGGAACCTTTATTAGTTTCCGTCGTAATATTTTATTACTTAATTGTTTCAAAGTGCATATTACGGATAAAGGTAATTTTAATAAGACGTCAAAATCTTCAATACATAATTGTAAGACGTATTTTAATTCTAGGATTACGTGTTACTAAGATGACACGCTACAGCGTCAATCATCGCGTCTATTAATGGTTACTTCATAGTCACTGCTTTACTCATTGGCATGTCATGACGAATGTCTTAACAAACGTCTTTAAAATATGGCACTGACGGCTCACCGCAAGGCGAAAGACAATCTGTCGTTTATGATCCGTCTTACTAAAATTATAGGGATATCGTTTCCTAAATATTTTTATAAATTACTATTTTATAAATGTTTCTCAAATGTATCGAGTTGTATAATCAGAAATAGAGACGAAATGTCATTTAATTTGTTTGAAAACTATTCTGCCATATCATTACTGTGACAACTGCGCTCCGATTGGCTAGCCCGAGTTCGAAACAATTGACGGGTTTCGTCAATGGGTGTCGTCAACTGTTTCACTTCAAATCGACCAGTTAACTTGAGCTTTGCTATAATGGACAAAAATTGCAAAATTACATATTTAATATTTAATTACCGATGAAATGTGATTCCGTTTGTTTTGTAATTAGATGTTTTGCTGTTTTTCCCACACCACCGAATAGAACAGCACGGCATTGTTAGAGATATTATCTTTATTACAATAAATATAGAAAATTTTTTGGAATATACGAAGACATACAAACAGATCAGTAGTTGGCCTGTCTACATTTTAGTGCAAACGAGAGTTGATATTTATAAGAGCTGTATCGCTTATGTGTTACCAGGAATATATGGCCCTTATTTCGTCTCTATTTCTGGTTATATACTCGATGCTCAAATCTGACACTTGCCAAAAGCCTTAATGGCCACTATCATGTTGAGTTATTATTATTACAATTATTTATCACTTGTCAAATTTTTGACAATAGATTTATATGTTTTAAAAAAGTGGAAATAATGAAACCTAACTGTACGCACACCTGGCTTTAGGACTTTTTATTTTTTATACACAATTAGTATATTTACGTGGACTCAAATTAAGTCGATCAAATACAATAAAGCGATCAATTGATTACAACTCTATTATTAAAAAAAATAGTTTGAAGATAACTGTTTTTAGATATTTCGTAGCAATTTGATAATAGTGTTTATTTATTTTTTAGCCCTACTATTTCGTTTTATATTAACTATTGTTGTTTATATTAGCGACGATCATATTACCCCTTATCATTATGTTTTAAATTGTTACATTCTGACCTTGGTAATATCAAATATATGATGCTATACATACCTTAGGAATATACAGGGGAAGTTTTCTGCCGTAAGCCCGTAATCTGGCATTGGGAACATGTCGGCCGTTAGTGTCCCGCTGTGCGTCCATCCGTCTTTCCGCGCTCACTGTAGCTCCTGTTACCGCCTCCGCTTCCTGCCCATTCCGGCTTTGCCATTCTGTCGACAAATAATCAATATAGTCGATAACTCAATTTATGACTAATATGATGTGATTAAATCTGACTATGGGCGATTGTATCTGGACAACTCTAGCACGGAACACACGACAATAAAAACACATGTTTAAAATTTAATTCTTCTTCATATTGTAAGAATGAACGCAAACAATGAGAGAAGATACTTAAATAGACCACACTAGATTATTTTTTGGATGATATAGCTATATACATTTTTACATAAAGAACATTAACAGACTGTAATTCTTTTTTAATTTTTATTGAATTGATATTCAATTTTTTTTTTGTGAAATTACTCCACTAGTTTGTTATAATTATTAATACAAAGATCGAACACTTAGAAAAAAATCCTTCGATCCCGCCGGATTCTAACCACGGAACGAACCAGCGGACCTTACGTTGTTCGCTACGACTAATAAGTCGTTGGAAAACCAAATACAAAGCTACGACGCAAGTACATAGAAAAATTCGTGAGGACCGCTGGTTCGTTTCGTGGCTTAGTTGGTATAGCGTCTGCCACGGTAAGCTAGAAGATGTCGGTTCGAATCCGGCCGGATCGAAGGATTTTTTCTGAGTGTTCGATCTTTGTATTAATAATTATAACAGACTGTAATTTTGCTAAATTAAAAAAAGCAACATTATTCTAATGACTGTTTCGGCAAACAATTTCTAGTACTGCAACGAACATGCGTGACAAAGAGCAAATGAAAATCAACGACAATGGACAAGTAAAGAAACCATTAGTAACGCTTTTGTACAGAAAAACAATAAACACCAGTACTGAATAAAACGTTAAGAGAAACACACAGGGAAATTTATGTTGATTGAATCTAGATAAATGATAAGAATGATAAGATAAGCGGTGTTTACTCAATGACAACAGCTCGCAATGGCAGCTGACGAGATGGTTTAATAAAACTGAACGTGGCAAATTAGCAGACGAGAACTTATGACGGTAAAAACCATAACGCAATAGATTGATACAGTGTTACCACGACGGAAAGCCGACAAAGAGGGCTGGAATAAAGACTTGCATAGATGTACCAGAATTTGCATTTACGCCATTTATCTTTTTTTTGCCAATCATTATCTGCACACTGTAGTCTTGCCAACTCAACAACAGCTCCAGTACCAATAAAAATAACATACCACATACACTGACTTGGCTTTAATAAAATTTCAAAGATCAAGTTTATTTACTTCTACTAATCGGCAAGATTTGAGACCCGCTTCTAAATTGTGAATTGTGACTTAGATGCATCTAATTCGTCGCTGATTTTGCGATAAATATTATTACAATGTTTTTTTGCTTGAGATTAAAGCGGATTCTCAGTAATTATTGTTACAAAATTATTTTTTTCAAGTGAAAAATGTTTAGCAGACAGCCATTTGACACAAGTAATATTTTGAATTGAAATATCGACTGTGAACTGGCAATCGGTACTATCTCAATTTTGATAACTTTACAGGACGAAGAAAAAATTGTTTCCGTCATTTATACAGCATCTGATTTGTTAAATAAAAATACGTAGTTTTTAAATATTTTTATTACACATGCACTACGTATTTTTATTTAATAAACCAGAGGCTATATAAATGACGCAAAAATTTTTTTTCTTCATCGTGTAAAGTTGTCAAAATTGAGATAGTACATGTCGCCAGTTCACAGTCGATATGACAAGTTAACATTGCCAGGTGAAAGTCGTTCGATTTTTCTAATATTTAATGCCATGAGATAGGTACCTATAATTAGAAACCTTATTTCTTTGATGTCAAGTGTGAAATGTAGTATTAGTTGTGTGTTCGTAGTAACAATGTATTAGCGAGATTTGAAGGCGCGTCAATAGGTGAAAGACGCGAAGGCGAGACGCACCGGTTATGGACAAGTTTGGAGAGAGTCGGTCGCACAGAGAGCGGAACGCGCGGCGCACGCGCGCCGCCACACCGGCCGCCGGCTGCGTCGACACACCTGAATAAACCACCACCTTCATACCACCAGCACTACCCGACACCGTGTTAACCACAAGCACTATGGACCTAGAAACCATGCTCTCGAATTATCCACATACATATGCCTCCTTTATAAGAATAGAGGCCCAAACCAAAATAAGTTAAAAGTTTTATTCAGAATAATACACCGTACTTTCCGTTGCTTAAAGTAGCCACGTGACAAGGTTTTTATTTTTAGAATTTAAAAAGGGGTACAATACTGTATATAAAGTTTGACTGCAGGATCGAAAGGAGTCTCAATTGAGCAAAAAGTTACAAACTGACACTCAATGTAGTTAAAAATACTTAAATAGTATAATTACTATTCAACAAAAATTTGTGAATTTTTAAATTTACATTTTTTAGTTTCATATCTAATAACTTCTGGTAAGCTGTTTAATATGTATGTATACGTTTCTTTAAGGTCCTATCTACATAGCAGTTAGTCACTCTTGAGATCACAAATTTACCAGAGGTCATCGACCTGGTATTATAGTATACTTGAGATTCTACATACGCTATTCTACAAAGGCAGCATTGATATATTGTGTACCATTACCAACCACTGACAAATTCACTTACTTACATGCCCGTTTACGTACAGCTAGTAACAAATTTCTAGGTCCATGCGTTTAGCACCATAGAGAGACAATAATAATAATTATGGAACTGACCTACATCCGCGGCGAGCTCGGCTACTGAAGCGCAGAACGTTTCGAAATCTAACGTATCAATGCTGGGTGGTAAACAGCGGTCGGCGACTTCGCGTCGGACTCGCGTGACGTCTTTTAACACGTCCACAGCCCGCGAGCGCGTTATCAGCCCGTTTCTGCTGCCTGCCGCGTCGAACGCACGCTTCAGCCTCATGATGGTGTGGCCAAGGGAATACCGTGGATTCGTCCGCGCGCCGCGAATAACGTCTCTTGCGCAACGCAATGCCGCGGGAATGTCGGTGAATGCAGGCAAGCCCCGCCTCTCTACAGCCTCTTGCAACGTCGCCCGTGCTCGAGCTAGCTCTACATATTCCCTGAAAGTATGAAAAATTGCGATTAGGTACAAATCTGTGGCTCTAGCGAAAAGGAGTATAAGTAAAAAAACCTAACTTTGCAAGGAGACGCGAAAAACAGTTAAAACTTAATATGATATTAAGCGTTAAATGTTTTTCGCGTTTCCGTGTAAAGTTGGCACTTTTGACTTGTATCCCTTTTCACTAGAACTATAAATATATGATTTGACAATTGAATTGGTATTTCAGTTATTTGCATGACTGTTTTTTATTGTTAATTATAACATAATTTGGATGATTGACCAACTTTGCAACAACTGTGGTACGAAGTATAAGAAAGAGCAAAACATGACATAGTAAGAACTCTCACTGGTCACTAATGGTTTCGTTGGCGATATTCTGATGCCGCGCATAGGGACGGAGAACGAGCAGCAAGTCTTTGGGCGCGGCGGCTAGATGGGCTACCTCCACACTGGCGGCGACTGCTCGCGTCTCGCTATCCAAAACAAACAACAGCGCCCGCGCCGACGCTTTCGCGCGATGCTCTACTTCCACCAGCTCTGTCGACCAGTCTTCCACTTGCTATAACAATACCGTATTTGAAATTCATAAGACAATTGATACAATACCATCGAATATAGTTACAATCACTTAAATATTCATTGCAATGCAATCTTTCCATTAAAATACAGTACAAATAAAAAAAATCTCAAAATCAACTACACTAAACATATTCGATTTCCTGATTCATTGTTTTGTAACTAATTGGATAACAATTAAGGGATTTAAGGTAATAAATGGAGTAGTAAGTACTTTTTAAGTACTGTATTATATATATATTTGGTACGTTGCAAGCAAGTTTCAACCGACCTTGCAACAAATACCTAAGTAATTATGTAAATAGAACGGATTAACATTATAAAGGCGGTTATCTACTCCCATATTACTGATAAATAAATTATTTTATCGTTAAATTTCGAAGGCGACGTGTGATTTAGACTGTACAAAAAATACTTTTTCAACACGTTCGTTTCTCGGCGCAACAAATGGCGGACATGCATTATCTACTCGTATCCTTGTGATTATAATGTCTCTTCTTCTCGGACATGTGATAATGATAACAAATTATAGAAACTCTTAGTTGAAGTAATTATATTGTTACGTAAACAGATAAGTGCTTTTATTTGAACGGCACAATAATAATGGAATACTCACACTTATCGACGAAAAATCGGCGGAGCGGGTGAGATAAAGCTTTATGTCTACGCAATAGGAGTGAAAAAGCGTCGCGCATTTCGCCTACGCTCGGACCGTCCCGAGGCGGAGCGCACAATGTCTTTTCGCTCTTTTTACATGGATATAAAGTACGCCGCTAAGTGTGGAGATTCCCTAATCCTACATGCTTCCCTATGTACCTCAGAAGCCATATTTTGTGTACATATTGTTCAATTTTTTTTCTTTTCTTTTATGATAACAAGTGACGGAACGAACAAATCGTCCGCTTGGTGGTAAGCGACACGCCTATCCATAACAATCACCACTCAGAGCTTTAAATCACAAAGATCTAAGGGGCACTGCCACTGCACCTGTCGCCCTGAGGCATAAGTTGACAAGTTCCATGTGCCTGTAATTTCAGTAGCACCCTTCCCCACAAGACCGGGACGCACGCAGCAACGCTCACATTACTGCTTGGCGGCAGAAATAGGCAAAGGCCTGGACGAATCTTTCACAAGCAGCTCTACTGCTATTAAATTTTTATACAGGTTTATAGTTATATTTTTACAAGAGTCATATTTTACATGCGACGCCTTAACAGGATTATATTTACATTATTTAAACTTTAGATCACTGTGTAACACATGAGAGCAATAAACACTTTATTTTGGCTATATTTATAAATTAATATTACATTATATTTGTAATGAATATAAACCTTTTATCTTGGCATTCACGCCCAGCTGTGGAATGTTGTTATTATAATTAGCATTTAAATTAATATAAAAACAGAGTCGCCTACACAAAAAGCCATTTTAATTTTGATTTATGCCATCGTCTTTGTGATTTTATTAACATCTTGTACATAAAAATTAAAATGGCTTTTTGTGTAGGCGACTCTTTTTTTTTATATTAATTTCAATGCTAATTATAATAACAACATACTAATGTTAATAAAACTATAAGTGGCAGAAACAAAAGGCGCTTTAATCATGTATAGAACCAGTTTTTAAAATATTTTTTAATACACTGTATTGCAATAAAGGATGGTATAATAGCGTGTAACGCCATAAATCATATTTCACAAAACATTACACACGTCCATTAATAGAAGTCTAGTACTTTGACCTTTTAATTTCTAACATTTATGTTGTCGATAGTACTGGAGCGCTTTTGTTTTTGTTTTAACACTCAGTGTGAAAGTCTACAAAGTGTAAAGATATTCATTCGTGATAACTTTACATCAATAAATGTATTTATAGATATAACTGTATGAATTTAATGGATTTTTTATTTTTGTAGTTGCTTTTATGCAAAGAACATTTTAAATAATGTCCAATGATGTAAAAGAATATTCTTAGGTCTATTTGGTACCGTCGGGCTATAGCGGCACACGTTGTGCCAGTAGTGGATTTGCCCTAAGGCCCAGTAGGCCCGGGCTTAGGGCGGTCAATCGTGACAAAAAATTCACTGATTCTAAAGGCTCACGCACGTTATGGCCCGCCGTACCCACATAGTGCCCGCCGCACTGCATCGCATTGTATAACAATGATCTACCTAAATCACTTTCGTTCATTTTATATTTAAAATATAGATATGTTGCATATCTATAATGTAATGTATAATCACTATATTACTACATATTATCACTACCGCGTCTATGTGTCTGTCTGATCGCGATAAACTCAAAATCTACTGAACGGATTTTTATGCGGTTTCCACCAACAGACAGAATTGAGGCAGGTTTAAGTGTATAACTTATTTAGGTTTTGTATAAGTTGGCTGAAATATGACGATAAATGTTGAAGATGTCAAGAAGATGTTAACGCAAATATATCAAATCAATGTTCTAGAAAAATATGAATATTATTTAAAATATTAAATATTAAATTTCTGAATCGATTTCGATAAAAGTTGGCAATAAAGTAAATTCATTTAGTCAACAGTATATGATGAGTGCTAAGAAAGGGGCGGCTGGTACCGACTACATGGCCTGAGGCCTAGGGCGGCCAAGACTGCAAATCCGCCACTGCGTTGTGCACACATGCCGTGGATCCACGCCCGTCGGAGCACAAGTGTCACGTTGGTGCTTTGCATATGCCTGTGCCGCTGTGTGCGATCGCATCCACATAGGCATACAAAATGACACTGAGTCAACGTGTGCGTAGCGTAGTGTGGCAATGGGTCGATGGCTTTATGTATTGGTACTAAGAGCGGTTAAAGACGGCAACTTTTAAAAGCGATAAAAACAAACGCGCAATTGCATTGCGACACTCGCGATTTATAGGCGATTGTATTGATGCAAACGCGCGACTGCAATGAAACAGTCGCTTATGTCGAATAATTAAAAACGTGCATAGTTTGCATCGCGATTGTATCGCTGCTTAGAGTCTATACAACCTCATATAGCTTTTGTTGATTCCACATAACAGTGAAAGTGATGAATCAATCGCTTTGGAAATAAATATAGTAAAATTGAGGATTTATTCTTATAAAAATTTCCGCGATAGAAAAAAAAACAGAAACTTTCCTCGAAAATTTACAACAAAACGGCTGTATCCAATAAGTACTTTATATATACGAATATACCAATGACTTTTTAAATATAAACTGAACTATAGAACACGCATACTTATATGACTATACATTTTTCAAATAGCTGTAATTTCGTTTGTAAGAAAATAAATTATGAAATAAAGCCAGTATCCCTGTCGCTGGACCCCAAGCAAAATGTACCGTATGGGAAAAATTTGGATTTGTGATGAGGTAGTATCAACTCTTAAGTCGCACGTGTGCATAAAGGTAGCCGATTACCCACTGCATCGCTGCTGCATCGCGACTGAATCGCAGTAGACTCATAACTAAACGTCGCAGTGTAAAACCGCTCTAAAAGTTTGGCAACTTTCATGAGAGTTGAATTCGCGCGAGTGAATTATAAAATTTCAGGCTATTTAAGTTTATTTATAGTTACACATTATTAAACACGCAATACGAATAATTGATAAATAAACAGATGCACTCACCGGATTGAAATACGTGATGCCCATCTTTTTAAGCATAGGTATGGCTATATCGGACCTCCAGGTGGTGGGGTTGCACGACCCGCCCAGAAACACCTCACACGGCGACAGTGATGCCTCGCTACCTGTACAATACACAACAGAATTTAGCATTCGTAGAGATACCTCAACGACATATTTTACGTTATCTTACTTGTAAGAAACTCATCTTCCTGATGTATATAAAAGTATTTCCTGTAGTTGTTTATTAACGCACACACTCATAGCCCCGCACTAGGGAAACCCTGTGTTGCGTGTGCCATTGACACATAAATAGACAACCACAAATGACGCCCAAAGTTACGAGATAAATAAATGTAGGCCATACAAATATTTTTCCCGGTCTGGGAATCAAACCCGGGACCTCTGCGTGTCAGATCACCATGGTAACTGTTCTGCCACTGAGACAGTTAAGTTTATGGCAATAGCTATCGCACAGCTACAGTTTCATTACTTGTGTGGTTCTGGGTATAAGATGCAACAACAGATAAAATTCTACATTCTAAATTCAACTATCAAAAGTCCGTATCAAGACGCACCAATTTTGGTATGGAGGTAATGTTTGTTTGAAACATTTGGCCCAAGAATTTCCCTTTACAGATGACGTCGACAGACTGGATCAAAAGATACTAGGTAACCATGAAAATAATTATCGGTAACTACGTAACTCATTAACCTCCAAGTGTATATGGAATTATTAGAGGTACAAGTATTGGTACCAACTAAAACCTACAATCAATTCAAATCATGGCAATTTGACATTAAACTTTTCAATTTATGGCCCTGTAAATGGATCTTAATTGTCTGATTATGTAAATTTATTTGCGTACCTACTGTAACTGCAAACTATCATGTTTATACATCACATTCATTGTTATTTCTTAAGGTTTAGGGATCAGATACAGGACATAAACATACCTAGCGACATTCTAGATTGACAACAAATTGTCGGAATTATCGCAATTTCAAAATTTTGATGAGAACTATAAAAGAACCACTGTCACAAACTTAAAGAATTATGAAGTCGAAATGGCAATGGACAAAAGCAAAGACGTGATGATTTATTTCAAAATTATTCGTTAATAGGAAAATATTAAATGCTCTAGCTAACGCGTAGATAGTTTAAACATCTTATAACTATCCTGTATAGAGATTACGCGAACAAAACCCACGCTCACTTCTGAAATATCGTACCTAACGTTCTGTCTACGTCATTTGAATGAATAATTCCATAAACACTACACGCTTCTGTCAATAAAAAGGAATACAATAACAATATGTAACTACGACTTAACTCGAGTCCTATAAACGAAGTTATAACAGCATTTGTACAACGTAATAAAATGTGGATGTGAAAATGTACACGAAGAAAAAGATGACATTCGACGACTAATTTATGAAATCGAATGAGTAGGGAACATATAAACAATATTCACCTACAAAAACTGTTACAACATAACTCCTACGGCTTTATCGTACTCGGATAATGCGCAGTAAATCGTAGTTTAACTCGACAAGTGTCATCACTAAGTAGGACTCGTCAGACGTAAATTGACCCTATTTCTAAGACGAGATGGAGGCACGCAAAAGAAGAACGGCTAATTGCTAACAATTGTACTGCGGTCGGACACGCAATAGCGTGAGTTCAAACCACAGCGTTCGTTGGCAAATGTCAAGTATCTTATTAAGATAGGACCACTTAACTGTGACTTCTGTTAATCATCTGCAATCCTGTGATTAAGTAATAATACCAAATACTTTTTCATAGTAGATTTGAACAAATCAGAAAAGTACCAGATCGTCATCCTTAAAATGCAGGAACTATAAACATAATTAACAAATAATACAGAGAACAGGTTTTAGTAATAATAAAGTCATGTATATAAAATTAATTAACAACAGATGGGTAAGTGATTAATAAATATGGCAATTAATTCCCCTATCAAAGGCGGATAAGTGAATGCAGCTTGGATTAGAAAGTTTCGAGGTGAATAAGGTGAGCGACTGGTCGTTCAACTGCTCAAGCCGCTCACTCATCGCTCATGATTGATGAATGATGAGTATCGAGTGCGTGGGCGCACCACATGTATGTACTCCGTACGAGACACCCACTTGCAAATTGCTGATACCCAAAATGGTGATACAAGACTAAGAAAAGTTGAGAACTTAAGTATTAGGATATGTATAATATTTCAAAGATTTAACGCACACTCTCAACATAATAAATGATTGTAATTTCAAAGATTTAAAAGTCAATACCGTTTAAGGTCACAGGGAGAGACTTAAAAGATAAAAAAATGTGATATATCATTTCAAATACCAAAGGTCGTATGAATGAACAACATACGATTCATTCATGTTTATATTGTAGAGAACAAATTGTGGCCAAACAACAAATCATCCAATTCGGGAACACCGTTCAATGCCAAAACCAAAACGTAAACACAGCGTGTGGTCAACAGATGACTTCGTTGCTTCCTCCGCTATGTTCATCCATATATTCTGCAACGTCCATGAACCAACACAATCTGACTGAACTTTCAACACAGGACACTTGCCAAAATTCAAAACGACTATAACTATTTTAAAAATTTGTAGCACTTATATATAACAAGAGATACGAAACGCGTCGTGGGTGTTGTAATAACAATGTTTTTTATAATTTGCCTGGTGATAAATGTATTGTTTGAGGACATTCTATATTTGATGTGTTTATTGGGTTTAATATAGAAATGATTTGAATATTTACGAAATATGCACGCACAGGGCACTAATATCGTAGTTGGTGGCATCGCTGCGACGGTCAGAAGGGCACTCGCGCGTGCGCGCTCTCTACCGGACGGCCAGCGTCAAACTGGCGTGCGCGCTACGCAGACTCCACACTTCAACTCTAGCCAATTCCGCATTTTCATATATTATAATACAAAGAGATGACACACAAAATCCGAACAGGGTAATTAGCTAGATATCCTTTAAACCGGTCATTATTATAACCATGACAAACTTTATCCGTCATCACATTTCATTAGATCAATGATGAATAATTATGATGACTTCTGTACATCTTTGAGCTTCTAAGTACAGTAGAAATTATTTGAAATGTCCGAATCCACTTGAGCGCTTATCTTTTAAACAGTAGCATTGTATTCAGTTTTAAGCCTAACCACTTATCTTCAGTTCATAATGAAAAGAAGGAAACAAAAATATTACGTTTCAATAGCGTCTTTCAGCCAACGATAGAAGGTACAATTTGCAATGGTTGATCATCTAGATTATCACGTTTTGAATTGAAAGTAACAGTTGGGTTGCTGTTGGGGTAAAACGGTGTGCAACGTATTGATACTGTTCTGAATAATATTTGCCACTTGCAATTTTACGGTGCAACGGTGGTTAGTCTCACGGTGTCTAATGATAATAGACAAATTTTTATTTTTTATTATGAACCTATTGAGTCATCATCATCATCAAGAAATGTATACGTCCCACTGCTGGGCAAGGGTCTCCTCTTAGGCGAGGGTTTAGGTCATAGTCCGCCACGCTGGCTTAATGCAAATTGGGGATTTCACACGTTTCCCGAGGGTTTTGAGCCTTCTTCAACGTGCAGGTTTCATCAAGATGTTTTTCTTCACTGAAACGCTCATGGTAAATTTCAAATCAAATTTCGCAAACAAATTCCGAGAAATTCAGAGGTACGAGACTGGATTCGAATACACGGCCTTTGCTTGAGTGGCGGTAGGTCAAACCATTAGGCTATCACGGCTTCATCTATTGTGTGCCAGATAAAAATTAGAACATTAAAAAAATAAACTATTCTTCACTACTTGGAAACATAATATAAGAATTAAATATATTTAAATAAAACTATGTATTGCAGGAACTTAAAAATATATCAATATTTAATGTAGTGTTACTTATTTTCATTATTTTTTTTTTCATTAATGTTTTTGCAACTAAACTCTCAAAGAAAATAAATTCCAATTATCAAGATTAACAATGAATACAATGTCATTGTTTAAAAGATAAGCGCTCAAGTGGATTCGGACATTTCAAGTAATTCCTACTATACCTAACAGCAGATCAACATTTCTTTTAATAATGCCCTTCTGACATTTGTAAGAGTCTAGAGGTAGAGTTCGACTTTTACGTCCACTTTAATTACGTTGCGCGAATGCTGCTATAAGAATAAATCATAGTTAAATATTATTGTTTTGTTACTTCTTTTATTCGTGAGAATACGAACTCGTGCAAATAAATACTACTTTCAGCAATTATTCGTGGAATTTGCGTACACAATTTAATCCTATTTGATCTTATGTGTCGTCCGTATAGTAAACTGAAATGAATAGGTTTCAAACTCTATTTTGCGGAACGATTTCGTCCGGGAGATAAGGAAGATGACGTGTGAAGTTTGTTTACGTTATATTGTAGTATGTCATCTAAACTGTGCCACGAGTTTACAGTGTGAACAGCGGTTAGCGACGGCGTTAAATATTTGTATGGCAAATTGTAATTCCTCTTGTATTCGCGGTACAATTCGCTATCGACTTCAACACCGTGAACTTACAGTAGATATTATCATGTTACTTATCGGTCGTCGGCCGAAAATGTAGGCGCTACGCTATAGTACGTACGTTGTACAGTCGTACATCTGCAGCGAACATCATCGCTTCCGTATTCCGTGTATAGTTTATAGTAGCACGGAAGAGGCGAAAGGTCGCTCACGGCATTAACTATGCCCACTTCGACCTTTTTAAGAATTTGCGGAACCAACAAACTATTTAGTGTTTAAAATTCAGCTTTCCATAATAAGTCCATCAAGGATATAAATTGTATTATTATGTAGTATTATTTATCATTCTGGATATTTAGTTCATACTAATTTCCGTCATTTTAAACACCAACAGTTAAAATTATTATGTGCACGTACAGCTATTAAAACAGCTTCTTTCATATTACAATATCCTTTATAATACAATATTATATAGGGTAGCCTTTATTGAAAGGCTTTCCCGACACAATCATACATTTGCTTCAAGGGTTCTCCCTGCTCTACCATTGTTGAACCAAATTGAGAACCAAATTTAAT